GCGCGGGCTGGGCCAGGTGTCGGCGGCGTGACGTCTCTCTCGGCCAATCACAGCGGGGCCCAATGCGGGTCGTCACACAGCCGATGGCGGATCCGGGGGGTGGACATGGCACAGTGGATCAGAAGACCGGTGGAGGCGGTCAAAATCCCAGACGCGTAGCTCCAGAGTAGCCGAATGGGACTCGAACTTAAGGCGTGACCCCACCAATCGATTGCTCTCCGAACGAGGAGTGGGGTCACAAGCTCGGTTCGAGTCCAGTTCAGCGACTCTGGAGCTCAAAAGGCGTCTGAAGTCTTGGCGGCGTATGCATGTGCAAACCGAGGGGGAAACGACTGAGAAATTTTGTGTACATCGGATAGGGATAACCCCGGATAACCCGCGGATTACCTCCGGATAACATCGAAAAATTTCCAGGATTACCATTGGATTGCGCTGGATTACCCCGGATTACCTCAGAATTTCCCCGGATTACCCCGGATTACCTCAGAATTTCCTCGGATTACTTCGAAATTTCTGGTTATCCGGATAGCGGATAACCAATTTGCCGTACATCGGATAACCGAAGTCGTTTCCCCCTCGGTGCAAACCCGCGCGAGGTACGACGCGAAGTGACGCGGGCGGGACCCGCGAAACGAGCGATGATGCCTCCCGCGGTGTCGGCCTCGACCGGAGTGGGAAAGCGGCTCCGAAATGTAGTGCTCTGACTGTCGCAACCCTCTGCACGACGAGACAGGCAGTGGCGGGTCCAGGGAGGGCATGCGGGGGGGACAAAGCAGCGCCCCGAACGCCCCGTTCGGAGTCAGCTGCTGCAGCGCCAAGCGACGAACCGCCGCCGAACAATCGAAAGCTCCAAAGCACCGCGTCGCACACACTGCAAACAGAAGCAGCCCCTGGGGCACTGAGGCAGCAGCAGACCGATTCCGAGAGTCGTTTTCGCCGCTCTGTCTCTCTCGCACTCATGGGGCGTCCCGTAAGGGTGCGAGAGAGACAGCGCGGCGAAAACGACTCTCGGAATCAGTCTGCTGCCCGATTGCATCCAACCTGGAGGGAGGGGACGACCGTGACGGCAGGCCGTCTTCGTCGCACTCATGTAATAAAATGCGGAGCAATGCAGAGGTCAGCATCACACACCTCCCCCTCCCCCTCCGCCGCCGCGAGCCGAGCACTGCCGAGCCGAGCCGGGGCGTTGCTTTTACATCAATCAAGGCGAAGGTGATGACCGGCCAAAAAACAAAAGCAGTCTCGATAAGTAGTGCCGACTTGGCGTTGCTTGTTTCGCATCCCGTCCAACCTGTTCTAGGCACGCCCGCCGAGCGCCGGCAGTGCTGGCAGCAGCGCAGAGTGGCAGGCGCAGCATCTCAGCATGCGTGGCATGGGTTTCGTTTTCAGTTTCGTCGCATCTTTACCAAGCTGTTTCAGGTTGATTCCAAGCGTAGGGGCCAAAAAGACTATTGGCAACCCTTGGCATCTCGATAGCCCCCTGAATGATAGACAAAAAGACACTCTTTGACCCTATTAGGGAAGAAGTGCCACTTTTCCACTTTGAGGCAAGAAGTGCTAAATTGCCACTGTAAGTAGGCAAGGAGTGCTACATTGCCACTGTAAGTAGGCAAGGAGTGCTACTTTGCCATTGTAAGTAGGCAAGGAGTGCTTCTTTGCCTCTGTTAGTAGGCAAGGAGTGCTTCTTTGCCCCCTCAGGCCGGCTCTGGATCCACCAGAGTTTCATTCTGGAGTCCTTAAGTTTGTTCCAGCCGCTTGTCGCATCGCTTCTCTTTCCTTTCCTGGCGCTTTTCGGTTTCTTTTCCCGCTGCACTTGACTGCACTGCGTTGCACTTCGATGCCTGCAGTGTGTCGGCCCTTCGGCGCCGCTGCATCGCGCCAAGGCACGGCCAAGGACACGCTCTGGAAAGAGCCGCGTCGGCTAGTTCATTAAACTTTTTCCCCCTCGTTTCATTTTTTTGCTCCGAGTCAATCACTTCTCAAAGACATTGGAAAGGAGCGGCCGGGCAGAGCAGATTCCCAATCGCCCGGCCGGCAGACTCATTCAGAGGGCCCTCTCGCACCTGTACGGGACGCCCCAAGCGTGCGAGAGAGACAGCGCGCCATCGGTCTGAGGGCCGGCCGATGGGCAGCGGCTTCGACAACGCCTCTCGGCCGTCCAAATTAATTGGAGCACGCTCGTGGCAGTGGAGGCGCAGCCGAGCATGAGCAGCGGGCGTGGAAGCCGTTTGGGAAAGAGTTCGTTTCCGAGCGTCTCACGCGGAAGCGTGTCCCACGGCTCTCTCTCTCTCTCTCTCTCTCTCTCTCTCTCTCTCTCTCTCTCTCTCTCTCTCTCTCTCTCTCTCTCTCTCTTAAGAAAACTGATCCAAAACGCCTGCAAACCAACGGTTAGGCAACCCGTCGAGCGGAGCGGTCTTCAACAGCAGCACGGCCTACCTCCCAGGCGCCTTTCGCGCAAAATGTTTGCAGACAAATCGTAAAAACTGCACTCGTCATAGCGAAAACACGCCAAGAAGCAATGACTCTGCATGAATCATGAATAATTTGGGATGAAACTACTCATCCCTGCCCCTCAAGATTTTTAAAATAAAAATCTCCCTTGACGAGAAGAAAGTCCTTCATCGCAACCTCCCTCTGTGAGTCCAGCAGGCTGATTCCGAACGTATACAGCGATGTCAACGTCCTGTCTCTCTCGCACCCCTACGGGCCGCCCCGTGGGTGCGAGAGAGACAGAGCGACACAGGGAATTCCTCGTCGTCGTAAACGTCGGCTTGCCGAACGCCCGGCGGCTCTCGGCCCGGCCCGTGATTTGTGAAGGCCTTTCGGTTACTCCTCGGTCGCCGCTCGAGGCTTCGGCCCTTTGGGTGTATCAGCGTCGCCGTCGTAACCGCCGTCTGGGACGCCCCGCGGGGCCTGTGGCCAACACACTAAACGTATTTGCACAAATTTGGTACGCGACTTTACACTTTTCTGAACTCACACTCGTGAGGAATTCACACAAAATCGTACGCAAATAGGCACATTATTGTGCGATTGCACGCAAAAAAAAAATGTAAGAAAATCTTTAAAAGAAAAACTGCGTCGTGCAAAACTGTCCAAAAGATTTGGTGTGTAGGTCCCTCCCGCGTCGGATCAGCGAGGCTGCCAAAATCACCGGCACTTGCGTAACAATCAATCCGCACATAACAGTCAGTGTCCCATGTGCTTGTTGTTGTTGTTTTTGTTTTTTTCGCTTCCCGCGGCTCCACCGCCACATTGGCGGCCCGGCCGCGCGGCCAATGGAACCGCGGCATCGCACTGACGTAACGGCGTCCATCCATGTCTCTCTCGCACCTCGATGGGGCGCCCCATGGGTGCGAGAGAGACAGAGCGACGACTCTCGGAATCGGTCTGCAGGCGCGGGCCGCGCGCCGACTGAGGCACTGTCCTGCGCAAACCATGCAAAGCCCGTCGTTTCGGCCAAAAGGTGACTTCACGCGGCTTCAGGGAAAAGGCATTGGTACTCCTCGAGCAGGAAGGACACACGAGTTTCTCATAGCCTCGGCGTTCCAAAGGGGGACGGAGGCATGCACTGCAAATCCCAGAGGCGCTTGACGTATTGTGTTTCAAACCTGTGGTTATATGACGAGGGGCACACGGACGTTTTCGTGTACGAAGTTTATTACTCGGCCTGACATCCCCCACCTCACCCCACCCCTCTGCCCGTCCCGCGCCGCTCCTCCAGGGCCGCGGGCTATTCTGAAGTCGCAGTGCGAAAGCACGGGGATTCAAAGCAAAATTTTGCAATTGAATTTCAACATTCTTTCAGGCAATACTGCAATACATTCACGCAGCAATACATGGAATATGAATAACACACTTAACTGTGATTATTTCGACACTGAATGAAAGCACAACAAACGATAAAAAATAAAAGATTATACGTGCCGTTACAGGTTGTTGCATAGTTCTCTACACGTCAAAACACACCGCCGCCACCGCCGCATACTGGACGCAAAACTGACTGAAGAAAGAATGTGACGCAAAACTCTGCTTCCTTTCCACTCGGAGCGCCAGGCCGCGCTGCGATGCCGCGATGCGGTTTTCCTGCTTTGCGGCGTCAGCTGCTTAGTAGCATTCCCTTACGAATGCCGAAACGAACCGCCCCGCCGCGCCCGCCACTCCGTGTGACGCGTCGGCGTGTCCCCGCGCCACTCAAGTGCGTTCGCACTCCCAATTTCCCAACGCCGTGAACTCAAAATACTGAGCCGATCCTCAATACCACTGCAACTTAAATACGTCGTAATACAGAGAAATTTGTTCGAAATATGAAGAAACCGGTCACAAGTTACTGAGAACTCCCAACTATATGTTACGACCTTCGCTGTGCTGTCATAATACTGAGCGTTTTGCTCATGGAGGAAAAGTTCAGTGAGGTCTTGAGAGTGTGCAATGTCTCAACCAGCACCCACATTTCCCCCCCCCTCTTCCCAAACAGTTCAAATTTTTGCTATGCTCCTTCCACTTCTTAAAATTTGAAAATTCCTTCTTCTTTTCGACACCGCGGTCGCGTCCTCATGGCGCGGCGTCGCCGTGTCGCCACCTTCGAGTCGAACGAACAGCGGCCGGGCCGTCCCTGTCACGGCGTGAGTGACATTACACAGTGCTGCGGGCTCGCGGCTCCGCGGCGCGCGGCCCCAGCAGACGATATGGAAATTGATCCGACGCTACGCGTCGCGACGCCTCGAGACGGCCGGCCGGCGCGCCGCCGGGGCAGCGCCGGCACCGCTAGACAGCTCTCTAGGCTAGGCTAGGCTAGACCAAGCTAGACTAGGCTAGACCAGGCCGCGCTTGACGTGTACAGGGAATGCCAATGTTTGGCTGCAGACGGGAGGACGCACCGGCGGCCAAAGTCCCGGACACACTGTCGGCGCCACCTGCAGCGGCGAGGCAGCGACAGCGGCGCCAGCAGACGACACGAAAACGCTGCAGCGCCGCTTCGCCGCATCAATGCCACTCACTTGTACAGTATCCTCCAGAAGCAGCCGAAGCTGCTGCCGTTGGCGACGAGCTTGGAGTAGGTGACCGTCATCCTGGAGGCCGGTGGCGGCGGCGGTCGACGGCGGCGGCCCCGCCAGGCACTACACTCCTATCAGATCACTGCCGGGGCACCGACAGGTGCCGCGGGCCTGGGCGGGCCGGGGGAACACGCGCGCACACACATCACCAACACCAACACACGCGAAACGCGACACGGGCGTGACACACACAAACACACGCGGATGTGACAGGACGTGACGCGGTCGACGCGACGCGGCCTGGGTTGCCCAGGTACTGCGGTAGGCCTGGCGCTCTGGTCGCGGTGCTCGCTCTGCTCAGGTGAGCGGCCACGGTCGGACTGACTGGCACCATGCCTGGCACCGGGACGGGACGGGGCGGCGGGGCGGCGGGGCGGCGGGGAAGTCGCCTGGCTCAGCGTGGCAGTGTGGCAGAGCTGTAGCAGCGTGCCTCGGCGGAGCACGGCGGAGCTCGGCGAAGCCAGCCCGCGGCACAAGAACGCGGTGAAGCAGTACCCGCGCAGCGCAGCGCCACACTCATTCCGAGAGTCGCTTTCGTCGCTCTGTCTCTCTCGCACTCATGGGGCGTCCCGAATAGGAGCAAGAGAGACAGAGCGACGAAGCGACTCTCGGAATGAGTCTGCTGCAGCGCTACCCAGCCAGTCGCGCCGATACAGCGAGGTGCAGGCTGGAGTGGAGAGCGCCGCTCAGACACGCGGGGCGGGGACGGGAGGGGGAGGGGGAGGGGGAGGGGTTGATCCGCGGGGTAGCAGTGGCGGCTCAGCGGCCCGCGGCACGGCGGCAGCGCGGCGCAGCAACGCGCAGCAAGCAGGCTGATTCCGAGACTCGTTTTCGTCGCTCCGTCTCTCTCGCACTCATGGGGCGTCCCGAATAGGTGCGAGAGAGACGGAGCGACGAAAACGACTCTCGGAATCTGCCTGCAGCAACGCGCGGCATACGAGAAAAAGAACGAAAGTTGCAATGGAATGGGCCGCCGCGCCGCGGCCGTGCCCTGGCCGTGCCCTGGCCGTGCCGGCAGCCCTGCGCCCCGTGGAGGTAGGCCGCCGCCCCGCCCCAGACGGTCCAGGACGACTCGCTGCGCTGTGCTCGCTGCTGGCCGCCAGGACCATTGGCCAGGACCATTGGCCAGGACGACAGCCAAGGTCGCCGATGGAACGAAACGAAACGAACGCAAGTCTGCTGCCGGCAGTGGCCGCCACGGCCCGGCCGGCCGAGCTGTCCGCGGCTCCGCGGCCGCCATGAAGCGAGCCGTGAGGCCACCGCGGCCGAGCCGCGGAGCACTGCCTTCGTCGCTCTGTCTCTCTCGCACCTGTACGGGACGACCCATGAGTGCGAGAGAGACAGAGCCGAAGCGACACTCGGAATGAGACGGCCGGCGGCGTGCCGGTGCTTGGTGTCGCCGCGCCGCGCGATGTGTGCTGATTACTTGCACGAAACGCCGCGTGCGCCGGCCCGAGACCCGGCACTGCAAGGACTGCCATCGGCATGGCGGTCGCCCGGCCCGCCAGAACGGAAAAGAAAAGCCGGGCGTTTTGGTCTCTGTTTCTGGCGGTGGAGCGCCGCTTAGCCCCACAGCCATGCCGGGCGGAAGAGCGCGTGGAACGCGAACGCATGGCGATGGCGCGTAGCGGGCCGGGCCGGGCCGCGAGAACCATTCGGCCCGATCGGGCCCGTAATCGCCCTCATTCCGAACAGCGTGTTACCGCTCTGTCTCCCTCGCACTGCTCGGGCGTCGCGGAGGGGCGCGAGAGAGACAGACAGAGGCAGTGTGGAGGCAGCCGGCAGGCGACGGCGTGAACACCGCGAACACCCGTGGTTTGGAGCGCACGTGCCCCGCGAGTCTCTATGGCGGTCTCCGGCGGGTCCAGCCGGCGGCGGGCAGCCCGAGCCAGCGTCAGCGGGGCGTCACGGTGGTGCCGCCATGGTGACGTTGCCACCCGCGCGCCGTGGTCGTCGTGGTCCAAGCCACCGTGTGCAGCGGCAGACCGCGGCAGACTTCGACAGAGAGAGCGACGCAAACGACTCTCGGAACCAGCCTGGCTAAGGCTAAGCCTCCGCATCCGCCACCCGGCTCGCGGGCCCAGCCAGCCGGCCGGGCCTAGGGCGGCCTAGGGGGTGGCTGCCGGGCCCGGGGAAGTCCGGTCAGGCCAGCACGCCGACAACATTCCCCCGCGAGCGGCTCGCGACGGCACTGCAGACTGATTCCGTGGGTCGTTTTCGTCGCTCTGTCTCTCTCGCACCTTAATGGGGCGCCCCATGAGTGCGAGAGAGACAGAGCGACGAAAACGACTCTCGGAATCAGTCTGCCGGCCGGCCGGCAGCCCGCGGACGCGAATAGACGCGAACAACACGCCGGGCGGGCACTGCTGCCGGCTCCAGCGCGGCGTGCGGGGCGTCGGTACACTCGTACACTCGGCACAGCAAACCACACCACAGCACACCACGCCGAGATCGAGTGCGTCCGCAGCGTCCGCAGTTCGGGCGCCGTTCTTCAAATAAGGCATAACCGCGCGCGTCGCGAGTTTGGCCAGGCAATTACCTGTGCAGCGGTGGTCTCGCCGTGTGTGTGTGTGTCCGCGTGTTTACTTTGTAGGAAGGTACGCAGCCAGATCACGAAATTACATTTCTTATTCCCGCCGTTTGGACGCGGACTCGGCCGCCGCCGCCGCCGCCTACGGCCGGGAATCTCTTGCGTGCGGTTTCGCGGCCTGCTACCGTAATGACGGCTCGCATGGGCTGGGCGCGGCGGGGCGCGGCGGGGTGGGGGTGAGTGCGGCGCCACAATGGGAGAGCTGCAAATGTCAAGGCGCGGGGCGGCAGCGCGATGCTAGTCGAGTCGGCGTAGGGATGACTGGGATGGCCTGCCCAGACCTCTCTCTCTCTCTCTCTCTGTCTCGCACACACACGCACGTCGAACCCTTATCGCGTTGCCGGAGTGGCCCGAGGCCCCGGTACCGTTACCGTGGAGCGAAGGTCACAGAGCGCGGCGAGGCGCGCGGAGAGTGGCGAGTGGCGCTGGACTGGCGTGGACTGGCGCTGGCGGGTGGACGCGAACGCCGCCAACGCCGACGTGGCGCGCCGAGTGGCGCAGGGTGCGACTCGTCCCGAGAGTCGGTGTCGTCGCTCTGTCTCTCTCGCACCCACACGGGACGCCCCATGAGTGCGAGAGAGACAGAGCGACGAAAGCGACTCTCGGAATGAGTCCGCTGGACTGGCTGACCGCCGCCGCAGCGCGTTTGCTGTGCTTTTAATGTGGCGTTCTCGTTTTTACGGGTGTGCATTGTGCTGCGGCCTTTCCATGAATAGAACAGTCCGAACGGGGTAAAGAAACGGAGAAGGGGAAAACTGCGTTTCGACGGTGTGGCGGTGGCGGTTTTCGTACCCGGGAGAGTGTGTGATTGTCACCCGCGGCGCTCTTCTCTCCCAGTGCCGTGCCGTCAGCCGAGGGATTCAGAAGAATCGTTTCGTCGCTCTGTCTCTGTTTTACTCAATGGGCAGGGGGGTGCGAGACAGACAGAGCAACAGGCCGCTCTTCTGAATCGCTCGGCAGTGCCGAGTGTGCCGAGTGCGTCGAGCAGTACGTGAGGCACGTGAGGTGACGAGACGCTTCCGAGCAAGCCTGGAGCAAGCCCTGACCCCTGACACCGCTAGCGCCGCGACCGGGAGAATGAGGGTTGCTGGACGTGTGCTGGGCCCCTACCTCAACACACCTGTCTCGTCCGTCTCTCTCGCTCCCCGGCGGGGCTCCCCGCGAGAGCGACAGAGACAGAGCGACGGAGCGATCCGTCGGCATCGGAAGGCTGGCTCCGGGTCTGTTGCAGCGCGAAAATAAAAGCCGGCCGAGGCGTGGAGGCCTCGCAAGAGTTGCGCAGAGGAGGCGTAATGACTGGAAGGTCTGCTGCTGGAGCCTGGCTGGAGTCTGGCTGGAGTCTGGATGGATTTTGTGTGGAGTCTGAATGGAGTCTAGCTGGGGCCTGGATGGAGTCTGGAGGGAGTCTGGATGGAGTCTGGCTGGAGTCTAGCTGGGGCCTGGCTGGAGTCTGGATGGAGTCTGGATGGAGTCTGGATGGAGTCTAGCTGGGGCCTGGATGGAGTCTGGAGGGAGTCTGGATGGGGCCTGGCTGGAGTCTCGCTGGAGCCTGGCTGGAGTCCGACTGGAGTCTGGCTGGATGGAGTTCTGGGGGCACACGCACGGCATGCGCACTGATTGATTGGAACTCGTCTCGCTGGCGTGCAGGCGGTCGCGGGCGGCCCCGGGACGGCCGACGGTGCCGACGGCCGCGACGCCCTGGAGTGCGCGGTCGACTCTCTCCCCACTCCGCGGCGGCCGTCGTGCAGCAATGCCTCCTTCTTCTGATGCTCCATGGCAGCCGCGGGTGACAAAAAGTAGTCTCCACCGGGCCTGTCCGGGATTTGAACCCGGGACCTCTCGCACCCGAAGCGAGAATCATACCCCTAGACCAACAGGCCGACCTGCACCGAGGCGGATCCCGTTGAGGAGTGTTTGATCCCGGCCGCGGTTCGGCCGCCTCTCCGCCGGCGGGTTCAATGCACGGCCCGGCCGCGGCCTCTCTGGGCCGGCCGCGGCACAGCGCGGAAGGCAGGCGACGCGGTTGACATGCAGACTCATTCCGAGAGTCGTTTCGTCGCTCTGTCTCTCTCGCACTCATGGAGCGTCGCGTGCAGGTGCGAGAGAGACAGAGCGACGAAAACGGCTCTCGGAATGAGTGCGATGGCTGTAGGGCGCGGGGCAGTGCGGCACGGCGGCGGCCAGCCTGCGACCCACTGATGCCACGATACGTCAGCGACTGCGTTTCCCTCCGATCCGCGGCGGAAGCGGAAAAGCCTGTCGAAAACGAAACGAAAACGCGATGGACGGAAGCAGCGGGGCCGCGGCGAGGCGGGGCATGAGTCACGAGGGAAAGGGGGCGCCCGGCGCGGCGGCCGCCCCTTGCCTCGGCCCGCGCGATGGGTTGCCGCGTCGCCGCGTCGCCGGGCGCCAGCGCGCCGGCGGCCGGGAAGGACGAGCGGAGCGACCGAAGGACACGAGGAAGTTATAGAAGGAAGCACTCAGGCGAATGTACAATGGTATTCATTAAACAAGTATAGCTAACACACGGGCCTGGCGAGGCACAGTCTCACTGCGGGCCCGCCACTCGCAGAGTTGCCAGGTAATCAATTATCACAGAAGAAAATGCAGTCAGAACGTGGTCGGCCGGGCGGGGGCCGGAGGGGCGGAGCAGGGCGGTAGTCGTCCGGGACGATGCCCCCGCGACGGCGACCTCCAGGCGGCGTCCCCGGAGTCCCCGGTAGTCATAGCGGTTCACGAAAAAAAGTGGCTTTTCGTATACAAAGCGTGATTTTTTGCAGGCGTATTTCTTACATAAAAATAAGCATTCTGACCCGCAGCACACCCATTTCGGACCCATAGGGGCCGAGCAGCGTTCAATTTTCTGTTCAATGAGTTAAAAATTTTTAAAAATTAGTTTTTGTCGATGGGTGTCAATCTAGGAGTCGTTTCTGCACAATTCGAGGACGAGAAAGCGAATGGAACCCACCCCAGGTCCAAATAAAGCTCCGTTTGGCCGCCATTTTGAAAAAAGGGCCTAAATGACCTTTTTTAAAAACTTGTCCAAATATGTCGAATTTGGTGTCATTTCTGCCTGAAATGGCATCGCTGACGTCGAAAATGGCGGTTAAAGCTGTGTCAGGTTTTAGGGTTGCCTGCCAGCTTCGTTAAAAGTTTTGTTCAAAGTGTTAACAATGTTCACAAACTGCCTTTTATCGTCCAATGACTATCTCGGTGTCGTTTCCGCACAACTTTAGGGCAAGAAAGTGAATGGAACGCACCCCAGGTTCTTATGGAGCTCCGTTTAGGCCCCAGGAACCTCCATTTTAAAAATATGTGCCAAAATGAACTTTTTTTAAAAATGCACCCAAAAATGCCGAACTTGGCGTCATTTCTACCTAAAATGGCATCGCTGAAAATGAAAATGACGTTTTAAATGGTGTCAGCCGTAAGGGGTGCCTGCCAGCTACGTTCAAAGTTCTGTTCAAAGTGTTAACAATGTTCACAAACTATAACTTCTATCGTTCAATGACGATATTGGTGTTATTTCCGCATAATTCTGGGACGAGCAAACAAATAAAACGCATCCCAGGTCCATGCGGTCCACCATTTTTTGGTCCATTAGACTGCCTTTTTAAAATATAGGGCTGTAATACAAGATTTTAGAAGATTTGCTTTGAAACTTCAAAACAAGGTGTCATCGCGTGTAAAATTGCATCGGAGACGACGACAATGACGATTAAAATATTGTTTACTCTCGGAGTGATCTTCTCATTGTTGTGCGCAGTTACGGCGAATGGCACGGCAACCCAGTAGGGTAGCTAAATAGATCTTTAGGGCTCTTAGTCCTTAGATAAAGATTGAGCCCAAGTCCTAGACTAAGCTCCTGAATATTTAGCGACCCTTCTGGGTTGCCATGCCCTTCGCCGTACCTGCGCACAACAATGAGAAGATTCAACATAAAAGCTAGGGCATGGCTAACCCAGTGGTTCCCAACCTTTTTCGGTTCGCGACCTCAAATTTGTAGCCAAAAATTTCCACGACCCCCAGGAAAAATTTCACGACCCCACGCGACCCCTCCTTTAGCATGCCTTTGATACAAAGTGCGATAATCTGCCTTAGTTCGGGAGCAGTATTGTCTCAAAGTTGATCAAAACAGTCACATATGGCTTTTAAAAATCGTGTTTTGGGCCGACTTTAAGCATCCACTGCGTCTGATCCGAGGCGGTATTTCGTCCTCCCTCAACGGGCAATTGGTCTTTGGACCTTCATTTTGCATGCCTTTAAAACGTAAAGCAATTATCTGCCTTAGTTTGGGAGCAGTACTGCCGCAAAGTTGATCAAAACGGTCACAAATGTCTGAAAACTCGTGGGTTGATCAACTTTGCGGCAGTACTGCTCCCAAACTGAGGCAGATAATCGCACTCCGTAACAAAGGCATGCAAAAGGAAGGTCCAAAGACCAATTGCCCATTGAGGAGGGACAAAATACCGCCTCGGATCAGACGCAGTGGATGCTTAAAGTCAGCCCGAAACACGATTTTTCAATGACATTTGTGACCGTTTTGATCAACTTTGCGGCAGTACTGCTCCCAAACTAAGGCAGATAATTGCTTTACGTTTTAAAGGCATGCAAAATGAAGGTCCAAAGACCAATTGCCCGTTGAGGGAGGACGAAATACCGCCTCGGATCAGACGCAGTGGATGCTTAAAGTCGGCCCAAAACACGATTTTTAAAAGCCATATGTGACTGTTTTGATCAACTTTGAGACAATACTGCTCCCGAACTAAGGCAGATTATCGCACTTTGTATCAAAGGCATGCTAAAGGAGGGGTCGCGTGGGGTCGTGAAATTTTTCCTGGGGGTCGCGGAAATTTTTGGCTACAAATTTGAGGTCGCGAACCGAAAAAGGTTGGGAACCACTGGGTTAGCCATGCCCTAGCTTTTATGTTGAATCTTCTCATTGTTGTGCGCAGGTACGGCGAAGGGCATGGCAACCCAGAAGGGTCGCTAAATATTCAGGAGCTTAGTCTAGGACTTGGGCTCAATCTTTATCTAAGGACTAAGAGCCCTAAAGATCTATTTAGCTACCCTACTGGGTTGCCGTGCCATTCGCCGTAACTGCGCACAACAATGAGAAGATCACTCCGAGAGTAAACAATATTTTAATCGTCATTGTCGTCGTCTCCGATGCAATTTTACACGCGATGACACCTTGTTTTGAAGTTTCAAAGCAAATCTTCTAAAATCTTGTATTTCAGCCCTATATTTTAAAAAAGGCAGTCTAATGGACCAAAAAATGGTGGACCGCATGGACCTGGGATGCGTTTTATTTGTTTGCTCGTCCCAGAATTATGCGGAAATAACACCAATATCGTCATTGAACGATAGAAGTTATAGTTTGTGAACATTGTTAACACTTTGAACAGAACTTTGAACGTAGCTGGCAGGCACCCCTTACGGCTGACACCATTTAAAACGTCATTTTCATTTTCAGCGATGCCATTTTAGGTAGAAATGACGCCAAGTTCGGCATTTTTCGGTGCATTTTTAAAAAAAGTTCATTTTGGCACATATTTTTAAAATGGAGGTTCCTGGGGCCTAAACGGAGCTCCATAAGAACCTGGGGTGCGTTCCATTCACTTTCTTGCCCTAAAGTTGTGCGGAAACGACACCGAGATAGTCATTGGACGATAAAAGGCAGTTTGTGAACATTGTTAACACTTTGAACAAAACTTTTAACGAAGCTGGCAGGCAACCCTAAAACCTGACACAGCTTTAACCGCCATTTTCGACGTCAGCGATGCCATTTCAGGCAGAAATGACACCAAATTCGACATATTTGGACAAGTTTTTAAAAAAGGTCATTTAGGCCCTTTTTTTCAAAATGGCGGCCAAACGGAGCTTTATTTGGACCTGGGGTGGGTTCCATTCGCTTTCTCGTCCTCGAATTGTGCAGAAACGACTCCTAGATTGACACCCATCGACAAAAACTAATTTTTAAAAATTTTTAACTCATTGAACAGAAAATTGAACGCTGCTCGGCCCCTATGGGTCCGAAATGGGTGTGCTGCGGGTCAGAATGCTTATTTTTATGTAAGAAATACGCCTGCAAAAAATCACGCTTTGTATACGAAAAGCCATGTTTTTCAATAAATCGGCGCGAACCGCTAAGGCTACGGTCACACCCAGCTCTTGCTGTAGAGCACGGGGAACGGCGCGTCCTCGGCGGGCTGCAGCCAGTTGTCCTCGGCGTACGCGCCCTTGACCAGGTCCACCACGTGGAAGGTGTAGGCGTGGCGCGACTTGTCAGACTTGTTGCGGTCGCTCTGGTGGACGGCCAGCCCGTGGATCAGCACGCACGAACCTGGAAGTACACAGTTCAGTTCCTGCAGGCCCATGCCGAGAGTCCTTTCCGTCGCTCTGCCTCTCTCGCACGCATGGGGCACAGGTGCGAGAGAGACGGGGCGACGAGAGGGACTCTCAAGCTGGGTTTGGTCCGGCGGGCGAAAGCGACGCCCACCGGCCTTGGCGTCAAAATCAAGAGCGAAATCAAATCGGGCGTGGATGATGGATTTGAACCAGGCGGGCGCTTGACCCAGCCGTCCTCCAAATCCCGGCCACGTCGCCGATCCGGTTCGCGGAGCGAAAAGCCCATCGGGACAATGGACTTCCCCAAGGCGACGCCGCGCCACGCCACTGCCACTCACCCTTGGGCACGGGCACGGGCACGAAGCTGCTGCGCGGGTACGTGGGCTGCGGCCGGTCGTAGATGAGCAGGTCCTTGGAGTCCTTGTCCGGGTTGCGGTGGAAGCGCGTGTGCACGCCGGCGCGGTGCGAGCCGGGGATGAACCACAGGCAGCCGTTCTCCACGGTGGCGTCCTCCAGGGGGATCCAGAAGCCCACCAGCGCCTCGGGCGGCTCCATGTACAGGTAGCTGGCGTCCTGGTGGGGCACCACTGCGCGGGGAGGAGGCCATCAGACAAGATACAAACAACTTAAGGAGCGCCCCGGTGAAAATCCCGCATCTCAGTGGCCTGTTGGCTGTGGTCGATTACTGTTGGGCCAAGCGCCCGGGTGGCAGGCAACCCAACGAGCTCGCCTGTACTGCGTTGTTGCGCGTGCGATAGGTTGCCTATCTCGACGGCGCGAAGACCAACAGCCAAGTCGTCATTTCCTCTCTGTGAAACCAAGAGAGGGGAATTCCACTCTTGAAGTACAGAGGGGAGGCATTTTCAGTCGCGGCACTTGGAACAGTTTACAGAATCCACACTTCAAGTTTGGAGTTAGTGTGGAGTTATTCGCGTTTGCACCATGCTCATAGTTCGGTATGTGAGCCTCCACAATGGATCGTCCAAGCGTGGAGCATTTCTCCCCACCAGCAGGAAATGTGAGTTCTCGATACTTGGTTTAACAGGGGGTCCATGGTTTAGCGGGTGTTGCACCCACCTTCGCCGCCGACGCCGGGGTTCTTGTAGATGTACATGCTCTGCGCGACGGCGGGCGTGTCCAGCCCCAGCTGGCGGCACGCCTCCTTGACGCGCTCGCTGTGGGTCACGTCCCGGAACACGGCCAGCTTCTCGTGCAGCGCGTGGCCCACCTTGTTGAGCGCCAGGTGCGGCTCCACCAGCAGACTGCCGTCCTCGCCCAGCGCGCCCTTCTCGTAGAAGTAGGCCACCTTGTCGCCCGAGTTGAGGAAGTACTCGTCGCGGCCCTGCGACAAGCGGCAAGCATGCACGCGGACGCTGTCAACGCCTGCACACGGTGGGCCAGAAGGCCGTGGGGGCGGCCGAACCGAAACTCTAGACGCGTTTTGAGCTCCAGAGTCGCTAAATGGGACTCGAAACGATCGTGTGACCCCACCAAAGAATTTCCCTCCGAACGAGGAATCCATTGGTGGGGTCACACGTTTGGTTCGATTTCTGTATAGCGACTCGAGTTCAAAACACGTCAAGAGTTTCGGTCGCCTGCACCGGTCTTCTAGTATACACTATACACTGTGCAGCACCTCGCGCGGCGCGTGCAAGGGCTTAGCCAATGATACTCTCTTTGCTTGCTGATCCCGAGAGTCGTTTCCCTCGCTTTGGCTCCCTCGCATCTCTACGGCTCTCTCGCATCGACACGGGACGCCCCACGAGTGCGAGAGAGACAGAGCGACGAAAACGGCTCACGGAATCAACCTGATGGCCGAAGTTGTAAAAACAGGCAGAGATAGCCACGTTGCTAGGCTCAGGCTTTCTGACTCTCCGACACTCACCTGGTCCGCGAACACGGACTTCCTCTCCTCGGGCGGCACGCCCCTGGCCAGGGCGTCCCCCTCAGCGCGCAGCGCCTCCACCTCGGCGGGCGTCAGGAAGTCCTCCAGCACCACGTAGCCGTCGCGCTCGAACTGAAACCAACACCAAGCTGTTAGCGTTTCACACGTTCGTTCAAAGGTTGCAGAGTGCGCCCCGCCCTCGGGATAGTGGCCACCACGCCCGCCGCGCGTGGCTCGCGGTGGCGGTCGGTAGCGCCCCGCCCCGCCCGGCATATGCATCCCCGCCCCGCCCTCGGAAGGATGAGGCGGCGAACCGAAATACTTAAACACTCGCTCACTGCTCGGCTGGCTCGCGCTGCTCGCGCGCCCCGCGTAGTGACATGGCGGAGCGAATAGCTCTGCACGGCGCGGTCCGCGGCGCGTGGCGTGGCGGCATGTACAGCGACGCGGCGTCCGCAGCGGACTCGGCAGCGGACGTCGCCACTGCCAGGTTGCCGCCCGTCGGCCCGGCGCGGCCTTGCATTGTATGCACAACCTTAATTATTTCGAGAGGCGGCCAGGCTCGCGGTCTTTAATTGCAGATGTGTGGCGTGGGGCGTCGGGATTCCGTAAGGAGCAGCTTCGTCGCGGTGGCCCCTCGCAGAGCGACAGCAGACCCCTTTATATTAGACCTTAGTTTTCGTCGCTCTGTCTCTCTCGCACTCATGGGGCGTCCCGTATCGGTGCTAGAGGGACAGGGCGATGAAAACGACTCTCGGAATCAGTCTGCAGAGTGAGGTGAGGAAGCACAGAACTGCAGCTGCAGTCCTGGGTGTCCGATGTCCCTCGAGCCGGGACACCCGGGCGATTCAGATGAGCGGTTTGGCGCTCTGTCTCTCTCGCACCCTTCTGAAGAGCCCCATGAGTGCGACAGAGACAGAGGACCCCACTTTGAATCAATGGCCAGGCCGACGCTGACGCTGCTCGTTAGAGGCGGCACGGCACCCCAGGGGCCGGCCTAGCTCGGCGTCGACGCGGGGCACCACAGCACAACGAAGCCGTTTGTCACTCGGCCAAGTAAAGCGCCATCCTGAACCAGCCGAGCGATTCGGAAGATCGGTTTCTCGCTCTGTCTCTCTCGCACCCAGTGCGACAGAGACAGAGCGACGAAACGACTCTCCCGCATTGTTCGCGTGGGTGGCGGATGAGAGGGCCAGAGTCCCAAGGAAGGGCTGCAGCGTGGCTCGGTACGTACTCCGGCAGTACCAGCAAGCTGACTCCGGGGCACTGCTTTCGTCGCTCTGTCTCTCTCGCACCCATACGGGGCGCCCCGTGCCCGCGAGTGCGAGAGAGACGAGAGCGGTGCTGGGAGTGAGTCTGCTGGCGGCTGTCCAGGCCCCCCAGCCGCAGGCTCGGGCAGGTGAGAACGAGGGGGCTGCCTGCCACGCCACCTTGACCGTGGCAAAGCCTGGGTCGCGGCCCGAGCCGCCCCCTCCGCGCTCCGCGCCGCCGCTCCCAACACCGAGCCGCAGTACTACCGCGCTGCTGCCAGAGCGTTCTTTTTATACCCCGAAGCTCATCGGCCGTCCAGGAACGACGCATTTACGCCTTCAAAGTTGGGGCGGGGGTGCCGGCCGGCGTGGCGCGGCGTGGTGCGGCGTGGCGCCGCCCTGCCGGAAGCGGGCCGTGTCATCGCCACGGTTTGGCGCGGTTCGGCGGTTTGGCGCTCCACTGCTAGACGCGTTATCTGGGAGTCGGCCTACAGGCCGGCGCCACGGCGGCTGCACTGCAGGGCCCTTGCCAGTCGAATCAGTCAGCCACCCCGACGGCAAACAACAGAGTCTTTCAAGAGCAGCGCCGCACAGAACAAGGGAATGCCACTCGAGGGGCAGGACGGCGCGACGCCGCGACGGGGGCAACACTCGCTGCAGAGGGCATGGGGCGTTCGCCTTCCCTCGGCGAGCCTCGCTGCCTCGCACTGCCAGCCGCCTCATTCCGAAGGATGGTTTCGTCTCTGTCTCTCTTGCACTCATGGGGCCGAAGGAGTGCGAGAGAGACAGACGAAACCATCCAGGCGGCAGGGCACACAAACAAGGCTCCCCCGCGCCGCGCCTGCCCGGCCTGGTGAGCTCCGCGGCCGCGGCCTGGCCATACATGGCCGTCGCCCTGGACTCTGGACCGCACCGCGCCCCGCCGCGCCCCGCCGCCGCCGGTCCGCCTGGAAGACGCCGAAGTAGGCAACCCACTGCGCGAAAGCGGCCGCCTTCCCCGAGACCGAGGAGCACGAGGTTCGCGTCAACGTCAACCCTGGCCGTCAACGAGGTGCATCGTGCGCGCTGCATACCTGCTCCCTCAAGCCGCCGCGCATCTTCGCTGCTGGCGATGCACAAGTGCCTTATCCTGGCTGAGCCGCCGCGGCGCGTCGCTTTTGGCGTCCAAGTCGCCGACCGTCGCTTCGCCGAGCTTCGCCTTCGCGGTGCTTCGCGCTTCGCGGTCTTGGCTGCGGCACCGACTCGCGTCCCCTCGCGTCGCGCGTCACACGTCGCACTGCGTCGCGCCAACCGAACCAACTGCTGGCGGCGGGCTGCGGGCTGTGGGTGGGGCTGCGGGGCTGAGACTGAGAGCAGCTGAGAGGCGAGGCGGCTCGGTCCCTCGTCCACGTCCCACGCGGCTCGGATGGGGTATGGGGCGCTCTCCTTTGCTCCCGCAGTCGAGCCACGGCCGAGCCGAGCCGCGCCGCGAGAGCGATAAAGATAGACCAGTCTGGCTCACTTATCTCCTTCGAGGGCCTCCTAGGCGGGCGGGTGGGGCCCCGTGGATATGGCACCCGAGAAGCGTGTATTTTTCATCTCTTTTCCCCGTCGAGTCAACAAACACTGTTGCTCTCTGCTGCCTCAGCTGGGTGCCTCCTCGTAAGGAGGACGGCCGGCAAGCTGCCTACACTCACAAAACAAGGTATGAACCGGCCGCCAGCATTTTTGGCACCGCTGATCCGAACCGCTTCATAAACACGAACGGGAGGCGAAGCGCAAAGACGCCCCCACCTCCTCTCCCTCCCGCTCCCTCGATGACGTGCACTTTCTGGCGTTCAAAGGGACGGGTCATCGCGCGCGCGACTGTCAGATGTTTCTGCCGCGGCGGGTATTCCCCCCAACCCACGCCAGGCCCCACCCCAAGCAGTCCTTCCTTAACCTGTTGTTCTTGCGTCGCATGCTTCAGAAGCTTCAGCCAGAGCGGCGTGCCAAGGGTGTGTATCGGTGCCGAAATGTGATCTTTTCTAGCTGTTAGTTCCATATTTTGTGCTTTGTGTGTGTCGCACTCTCTTCTCGACCCAGGGGTAAGTTGGGGACGAAGGACCGGGTAAGAAATGTGCACCCTTCTGTGGCCTACCGTAGCCATCTCGACGCCCATTTGACAGGGATTTGACACTCAGGTTTTTGTGTCTTTTTGAAATATCTGGTCGAGGAATGGCTTAAATTCATGGTATCAGTTTCATGAAGATGTTCTTTTCTTCCCCAAACTACCCCTAAGGTTGTTGTTGGCTCTCTAAGATAAGAAACACGATACACTGCTAACTCCCAACTCAGAATGTTGTATATACGATAGGCTAGTCTTTCTGCGCTAATCCTTTAAAGCATTTGAATGCCACAGGAAATATAGAATGCTTTTTGAAATGCGTGCAATTTTTTTTTCAGAGGTCATTCTCCACAGACGGTTTAGCTATGGCAGACCTACCTCCATTGAATCACCAGGATGCCATTCTACAATACATCAGTTCAAATTTTGTTTCGGTGAAGGAATCTGATAAGACATTTTACAAAGGACACCTTGAATTTGTGGTAAGACATTGGTTATGGAAGCTGTTTTCCTCCCAAATGAGTTGAATACCTGTGTTCGATAATGACATATGCTACATCATACAGGTTACAAATTTGATTAAAAATATGAAGGATGTGGACATCTTTTTCTGTACAATGTTCCAAAGGGACGAAGTGGCTGGAAGCTTCTGGGATGGATTAAAAATTGGAAAACCTGTAGAATTTGATAAAAACTTTGTGCTGCGTTTGCCACGCTGCTTCATGAACAGTATTCAGGTAATTCTTTCTGCATTTATTTAATTTTCCGATTTCTCACTTTCAATTTTATGTAAATCTTATTTTTTTTTGCAGTTTCTTCCTGCATTACCGTCGTTTGTCCTTGTCAATGTTAAGAGAGGCTTTGCAGACCTACAAAGAAGTGACAAGTGGGAGCAATACAAGTAAGGCACTTCGGAGCATTTTTGTGTTTCTGATTATTAATCGAACGCTGTTATTTGTCCACTTTTACTGACCGTTTGTTGTCCAGAGGTCATCCTCACTACTCTAGCTCGGGTCGGGCCCCACCGGCCGGTGCCAGGCCCCGCCGACCGTTGCCCGGCCCCTCCGGCCGGAGACCAAACCTCCCAAGGTAGGGATTACGCCAGCCTAATCCACCAGCCCCGACCCCGGCTAACCGATATTTGTCCACAGCTCCTCCCGACCAGGTGGACAAATAACGGCGTTCGACTATTTGCTTTTGTGCCATTTGTTTTGTTAAAACTTTTTTATTTCAAACAGTTAATTTTGGGCTTTTATGTTTATTAATGTACGTATAGGAAAATAGAGAGTTGGCTTGACAGAGATGGAAACATCATTTCAGACAAAGTACGATTTTGGATGGAAAGTGTCATAGTGAGAGCTGTGGATAGTTTTCCATCATACAGCAATGCAGGCTGGTCATACAAGGTATTATTTGTCTAAGCGCTGTAAATTCTGAAAGGCAGATTTTTCTCCTCAAGCATTGAGAACCAATCAGAGCTGAAAGATTTTTAATTTTTTCTCTCTTCGTTTCTAAATTGGCAGTTGTCAACGAGGAAGGCTGGTCCAGCAATGACTGTTGAAGTGGAGATAAATCCTGGTAGCAGACAATTTAATATTGACATTGTGCCTGCCTTTGAATTCCAACCTGCAGCATGGCCCAAGCACATCAGACCCTACCCAAAAAACATTCCTGTGAGCACTTTGAGTTATTGATTTATTGGTAGATTCATGCTTATCATATTAATATTTCGCAAAGGCTTTCACATTTTTGACAATGTACCTTACCATTTCTTACCTTTAGGATGCAGTATGGCATGTGGTTCCAAAACCAATTAAACCAAATGAAAGTGAATCAGGTGCAAATAGGTCAAACTACGGCCCAGACATACAGTGGAGATTGTCTTTCCACAATCAGGAGTCATATCGTATTCACGATAAATTCCACTTGAAAGCAGTCTTAAAACTAATCAAGGTAAGTTTTTAAAAATAATAGTTACAATGAAAATAAGTTTCTTCCTATTCCATCTGATCCATCCCAAATTTCCTTTCAGAAAATGAGGGACGTCAAACTGGACCAGGACATGCTATGCTCTTATGCCATAAAGACAGTTTTTCTCTGGGAAATGGATGATCATGATGACAGCTTTTGGCAAAGAGGCTTGAGTGTAACATTTTTGCATGTAAGTTTCATAATGCCAACATGGGCTAGAAATATTTGTACATGTTGGAAAGAGAGGGGTTGCGTGATTGATTGATTGATTGATTGATTGATTTTCTATATCTGTATTTTCGTTCCCAGATGCTCAATGTACTGGTAAAATTTCTAAGAAGTGGAAATTTGCCTTTTTACTGGCAAAAGGAGCACAATCTCCTGGGGAAATTGAAAGAAGTTCAGAGAGATCAACTCTTCCGCACTGTTCAACGGATTCAGAACCAAATTCATCACGGCCTTCGAAATGAAGACTGGCTTGTCATTGCTAGAGAGATATGTACGAATATTGATTGTTTGAACAACCAACAGTAGCTTTTTTATTGTTTTTAAAGAGGTTTAATAACCTGTGTTTTATATTTTATTTCTAGTGACTGACGAAGAATTTCACCAGTTGGAAGGTTCTTTTGACATCTAAGAGTGGAAGAAGTGGCTCATTTCAAGAGTGGTGTTATGTAAGCTTACTATTATTGAAAGATGTCAGATAAATAGTGAGATGCATAGTATTATTTTTTTATTTTTGTGTTTGGTGTTCTCTAAACCATTGTGCTAAGCTTACTATTATTGAAGATGTTAGATAAATAGTGAGATGCATAGTATTTTTTTATTTTTATTTTTTTGTGTTCTTTAAACAGTTTTAAGTGAATGACAAACTTAAATTTTGAATTCTTGTTCTGAAATTAATTCTTAATATACAGTTTTGAATTAATAAAATAACAGTAAATAGTTCTCTCTGATCTTTTTTTTTCCCATCCCTATGTCTCACTCTGAAAGGACCTGAGCCTGAGACGTGGCCCAGATAGATAGGCAACCACTCGGTACGACGAGACTGAAACTTTGCCTACCTTGTGGGCGCTTCGAACTCGCTGGCACCCCCTGGAGGTAAGATTATAGTAAGAGAGGAGGTTCAGGCTCCCTCGTGCACATAGGTGTGTGCCTAGCATGCGTTGCACGGTTCGTAGCAAGCACAACAACTTTATGAAAACCTATTTTATTTCAGGAGAGCACTCAAGTAAAATTAACACAGCGAACAATCATAGAATACGAATTTAAAAATCTTGATGGCGCGAACAGAAATGTGAAATGCAGTACCGCGGCACGCAGGAGGGGTCAAAATTAAAAGCCGTTCTCGTGCCAGCCGAAAGACTTGAGTAGTTCCAGCAACAGAGCCAGGTCCGCCTTGGTGCTGGCAGCCACGCCGGCGGCACGCGAGCCGCGCTGGAAGTGCACCACGTGGGTGGGGAGGTAGGCGTCGTCGTCGAACTTGACGAACACGTCCATGCGCTCCTTGTTCTTGGCGGTCGTGTCGTAGCGCAGCGAGCCGTGGCCGGGCAACAGAGGCGGCTCGTGCAGCACCGCCAGTGGGTTTCGGTTCTCCGGGACCTCGACCACGTTGGACACCAGGACGTCCACCAGCAACATGGAGCAGGTCGGGGCGCCCTTGTCGCAATAGTACGACGCGTACGACGCCATGCTGGAGAACGAGACCCCCGCCCCGAACCGATGACCTGCAACCCAGGGCAAGTCAGAACGACTTAAATATGAGATCAAATTGGTGCCAAAGAATGCCATTTGGACGTCAAAGTGAGGTCCGGTACACTCCTTAAGCTGTGTAGCGCCTGTGAGGTAGGCCAACTTCCCCACCGGCAACACACCAGCGTGGAGACGGCGGCCTACCTTGCCCCTGCCGTCTTCACAGGCGCAAGGTAGGCCACTGTCCACACGCCAGTGTGTTGCGGGACGAGCTACCCCACAGGCGCTAAAGGCCTAAAGGGTGCGCGGCGCGAGACGGGCGGTTGCTAGCCGCTCGTTTGTAGTATTCCACCTCAGTGACCTGAACCAGCCTCCCGATTCCGACGGATTGTTCCGTCGCTCTGTCTTTCTCGCGCCCCTCGGGGACGCCCCACGAGTGCGATAGAGACAGAGCGACGAAACGAGCCTTCAGAGTCGGACGGCAGGCACGGCGTCAGGACTTACCCACTCCCTGGCCGTGCTTGGACACGTCGAAGTTGTTCCTCAAAATGGGGGCCACGTTGGCCTCCTTGGTGCCGTGCCAGCCCTTGACGACGCGCACGTGGCCGTACGTACGCTCGTACTGCTTCTTCTTCTGCAGGAACCGCTGCTCCAGCAGGTCATTGTGCACTCTCTCGATGCTCACCACCTCCAACATCTTGTTGCCCTTGACCACGTTCTTAGAGTTGAATTCTGGAAACGAGACAACCGTTACCATTGGCCCTCTCAGGACGCTGGAGCACTGGAATTCCCTCGGCACTGCGCACGCTGCGCACTCACCATCCGCCACGTCTCGGTACTCGCTGGACCCAGGATTCAGTTTCGTCCTTTCCACCAAAGCCATGGCCGCCGCTTGACTCTATCACCTGCTTGAAACGCAGAAAACTCCTTCAGCATCAAATTTATTTTAAGTCGTATGGTAGACATGTCCCCTCCCTCCCCGGCCCGTTTTCGTCGCTCTCTCTGTCTCTCTCGCACTCGTTGGGCGTCCTCCTGTAGGTGCGAGAGAGACAGAGCGACTAAAACGACACTCGGACGTTCCTATGTTCCCTGCGTGACCTGCGTCCAGGACGCCCGCCCTATCGGATTGCTGACCGGGCAAAAGCAGGCAAAAGGCATCGCCTTTCTGCACGTAGGCTGCACTCGCCTGGCCGTCTGGCCGTCCTGCGTCAGCCGGTCGGACCCACCGCGCAGCCACAACAAACAAAACAGCTCACCACAACGTCAAAATGACAACAAATCCCGAGACGGTGAGGAGTGCTGAGTGAAAGTTGTCACAGTCGTGCCATATCGGCCTTAGTCATAATGTCCCTAGAATCGGCTCTATTGCTACCTGAGTCAATCAAACCGGCAGGTTAGGCAGGCCTATTTTGAGGCATCTGCCCTCCATTCGGCATTATCGTTTCAGACTGTGACTCTCACAAGAGCCCCATGAATACACTCATTCAGATTGCAGCCTCCTTTCTGTTACTCATCAATGCCTTACTTTAACCTTTGTTTAACTAGGTAAGTTTAACCTAGCAAATATCCTGTACTTATTTGGCCCCGTGATGCTCATTGGACGCGACACGCGAGACGATCCCTAGTCGCCTCACACTGTAAGGTGCTTTATGATTATCAGGTAATTTACTCACCGTAACCTCAGGAACAAAGTTGTGGATTGTTTACAACTCCTCTTGCATCTGATGGATGAAAGTATCAAGGGGAATACCGGGGCCACTGTTAGCACCCCCCTCTCCGCCTATCACATCAACAAGTGAGTGTGTGAGGCTACATCTATGAGAAATTTGCACCATTACTACGCTTTTCCTGAGATTTTTCTTTCAACTCTACTTTCTCTGAGTCCTATATTTCTTTCTAGCTTCTCGCTTTCTTAGTTTTCTTGAGGAGCCGACCCTCTCTTCTTTTTCTTCACCGTCATTCAAACTTCCTTTGAGGCCAAATTTTTATTTTGTTCGAGGAGGATGATGATTCAAGGAAGAAAAACCTCTCTTTTCAACTTCGTCTTTATTGACCAGATTGTAAAGTACAGGTTTTGAAACGTGAATTCCAAACTTTATTTTAGGTGATACAAAATTATCAACCACAATCAATGGAGGTATCTTTTCTGGAAGTAAAAAATGAACACATGCCAAAAGGTATTTTTAAGACTTTAGACTGAGGAACTTTCATAAATGCACAGCATTGAGATCAAGCTAAATTAAAGCATCAAGTATAAAAGTGACAAAAGTGCAAAATAGTGGCTGTAAATTAAACACTCCTTCCCCTCACCTAAATTAAGTGTACAAAACAAAAAATAAATATCTTTCAAAATTCTTAAAGTCAACATAATAGAAATAGCAATTAGAAGTCTGAAAACAACTTGCAAGTAATGCAACAACCCCAGAAATAAAATGTTTTAAAATGTATCACCAATACTAAAGTATGACTAGTTAAATTTAAATAGATTCATAGTTATTAGAACTCAACTAACTATCTAGTAGAAAAATGGGTAACTTTCAGCAGTTTGCAGTATAAAGCTGTGCAGCATTAATATTATTTTGATAATACAGAACATTTGGTAATCACTTAAGGTAACTTAACAAATACCACATCTGATTCACAAAGTATCTTCTTCCTCACTGTTAGACATGCAATCATCAGATAAGTGTCTATCACCACCAACATTTAACAGATTTGCTACCCTTGACAAACTACCATAACTTGCATCTTTTTTCCGTAACTTCTCTCCTCTCTGATTGGATGTGGAGCTACTTGAGTTTACTTTGGATTTGGCACCAGTTGGGGGGTTATATGCAGAACTATCTCCTAGCACAGCATAAATACTGTTCAGAAAGTCTTCGGTTGCTTCATGAAGAAGTTTTTGCCTAGCTCGTTGCTCATCACTTACAGTATCAGAAATAACAGAATACCCTGGACCCAATCTTATTATTTGGTTACGGTCAGCTTCTATTTTTTCCACAACAGATGTGTTGGAAGTGTTGGAGGTACTCTTGTGTTCCTCTTTGCTTACTATTGGACCCTTGCTCGCTTCTGCACGACTAATGGCGGCGGCAGCAGCCAAAGAAGCAGGAGTGGAGCGTTGCTTGGGCAACGCTCCTCCATGACTATCACTGTGCCTTTTTTTGGATGAAGAGGATGAGAGCACATCTTCAGTGCTTGATACTGACTTTAATGGAAGTGCTGGTTTCTTGCTAATTGAAGTGACATGACCCTAAAATGAGGAAAATCAGAACTTTGAATATGTAAAAATGAGCCAAACACATCACTTATTATTAAGCATGTCACTCACCTTCTGAATGTTTTCTGTGTGATCACTTGAGTGCCCCACATTCAATGAACTTTCAGTTTCAGGCCTAGTTTGAGTAGATGTTGGGATTTCATGCCTTGTTTTACCAAGAAGAGACTCAAGTACTGCTTGTCTAACTTTAGCAATGTCTCTCTCACCTTTGAATTTAAAAAAAGAGTAAAAGATCTATGAGGAACAAAATGGGCCTTTTTAGCTGAATGACTTGAAATTATTGAGCTACACCTACCTGGCAAGTGTTTATGGATGATAAATGCTGCAATTTGGTGTGGATCACTGTCCAACAATGGATCAGATTCATCTTGAAACCAATTCACTTCTTCAACAATAGTTCTTGACTTCCATTGGAAGGACACGGGAATTTTCAATGGAGGGTTGTCATATTCTTGGCCATTATACCAATGTTTGAAACCACATTTACATCTAGCTGTAGGGGAATCTACTACAGTAGATGTCTTGTCTCCATTTTCATACAGCACTTTCCCATCATAATGAATGAGACGGAGGTTATCACTGAAAAAAAAAACAACACCAAATAGGTTTGAAAATTTTTGTGTTTTTAGTGTTTTGAATAAATATAGATCAGTTCTTCAGTAAGATTTTGGTTGCATTATTCTTACCTTCCACACCATGAACACTGTTCCAAAATTGTAGACTTCTCAACCACAAGCATGTCTTTGCGGGCATTATACACACAAGTGACACCCTGATAACAAAAAAGAGAAAATTTTAAAAAGTTAAGTACTGATACCTATAGTTAAATCAAGATTCACATTTCTTCACTTTAACTTACATAGCTTTGAAAAGAGTAAATACGATTATCCTGCAAAATTCCATTGCTCTGTTTTTTTGCTATATTGTAAAGGAGACCATGAGGTCGAAGCCACTCAGAATTCAGAGGTTTCATGTTCACGCTGCAGCAATTCAAACATCGAAATAGGCGTCTCTCTTGGAGTGCAACTTTTGTAGCACTTAATACTTCGCTGGGCTTCATATCAAAAACAGCTGGAAAAGAATAAGAGAAACGTATACATAGGCACTAGAGAGAGATTAGGAATGAAAACTATGACATTAAATGATGCTACTACAGATCCAAACTTACCTCCCTTATGGAAATTACAGTAATATGTATCTGCCACAAGTGAGGGGTCTACAGCAAACCTTTGATGAAATAGAGCATCCATACCAGATGATAATTTCATTAAATATGAATCTTGCATCGTTTTCTGTCCACCTAAAGATACAAAAATTTACTCATAAAACTTAACAAGAAAAATATACACTGATAGGTTTGGAGAGTTACATACCTATGACTAGACAATCATTCGCATTGAATTCAATGTAATCTTTCACCATAGATTGAGAAACTCCCCACACTTTGGGCAATAGAGATCGTGGAAACATAGGAGGGTCACCTGGGGAACAATAGAAACGTATAAAATGTATCTGTAGAATTTTTGGAACAATGGAATCAATTTATTTAGTTCCTACTTATACTCACATCCTTTAACACCAACAAGAGGTATATAATGGTTGCGGCCAGAGCTACTCCATGCTAGGCAGATTGGTTTGTTCAATTCACCATTACGATCTCGACATTGGCTTGTTGGAATTAATCCAGGAAGAAAAAGTGCTGGAAAATTATGTACATGCTAGCGTTATGTTCAAAGAACACCAAAGTGGGAAAACTAATTCTGAACTAGTAACTAAAATGAGAAAGTTACATTATTATTAATCAGGGTAAAATCAACTCACCTGAATAATCACCTGAACTCTGCATGCCAGCAACAGAATCTACTAGTAAAATGGGTCGCCGAAGAACATTAGCCAGACCAAACACATGAACATTCCTGAGACCCAGTGTTTCATTATCGTGTGGAACATACTCAGGATCACATTCAGCAATAATGTCTGCCCATTCTGAGCTGTTGATAAAATCATTTAGAAGTTCCTAAAATGAATCATGGCAATTAGAGAAATAAAACAGCATATTCTTCCATACCAATAATGGGATGGCGGCTTTCCTAATAACTGATGAATTCAAGAGCAAGATGGACAAGCAATGTTACCTTATATCGAGGCAAATTGTCTGTTAAATGTTGTTTCAGCCCAGTTCGCAAAGCATGCCAAAACAGTTCTCTCCCAACAACAGCACGAGACACTGCATGGACCAAGCAATGTCCATCACCATCAACATGAAGAGGCACTAATGCATCCCTGGATCAAGTGGGAAAATATGTTAAGGTAGATCAAAAGAAAGTCAGTTCAAATAATAAAATAATAATAAAAATATTTTTGACACAAATCTTACCTATTGTTGTTGTAAGAGCGCAGGCGAGATAATGTCCCAGAAAGGTAGTCAACACTACCTGATTCATCTCTACCATAGCTTGGTAATGTTATATGATCAGGGTCTATGCTGAAACTGTAACCACCAAGCCAACTGCAGTCAAATGTACCACTGTAAAAGAAAAAGGCAACTAGATAAAAAATCAGGTAAAACCAAAGGTTTGGAGTAGGATTACTCTCAATTCACAAAATAACTGTAAGAGAAGTCTGAGTGCACACAGACTTACCAGTTTTTGAGCTCATGAATTGTTTTGGCCCTTCCCATTTTATCAATACCATATGTAGTCAAAAGAGGTGCAAGGAGTTTGCAATGATACGTTGACATGCCAAGAATCTTTACCTACAAAATAAAAAAGGCTGGTGCATTAAAACTGCAATGAAAGGGGTCAAATTATGTGAGGCAAGTACATGAGAATAGGATTCCCTCAGAACTGTGGAATGCAAATGATACAAAATTGATTACAGTCAGTTAAGAAACAAACTTCACCAATTATTCTGAAGTAAAGTACACTACAACTATATTGTTAAATCAGAACTGCTTACCACTGGAGGATCTGGTTTAGCCTGAGCAGTACCAGCCAACAAGAACGCTACAAGAGCTTCACAGCTATCAGTAATTTGGAAAGCATTCACTAGGGAGCTAATTGGATGATCTTTTTTACAAGAATAGCAATGAGCATCCTTTGAAAAATCAGAATATACAACAACGGCATTGCAGGTTTTGTTTGGACAGGTTCCTGAGTATATTTTGCCCGAAGTGGCTGAAGACAACATTGTGGAAGGTGTATGCCTGCAAAGCAAGAAAAATGTGACAGTAAGATCAAAACACAAAGACACAAGCTCTACTTATTCATGACAGTCGGTTTACATGGAGAGATTAAAGATAAATATTCAAAATATACACCAATTGCTGATTTAAATGTAGTTTTAAGGGTAAGTGCAAGAACTTCCTTAAGCGACAAACAAAGAGTAGATGACAAGAGAGATGATTTACTTGTTGTCCAAACAATATAGTTTTCATGTGAGACTAAACTCTCAGTGTTTGATGGAAGGAATGACCAAAGATCCTCCACTAATCTTACCTGCCTGTTCCTGATAGGCCTTCACTTCTCCATTCACTACGACCATGCAAAGATTCTCTCCAACAGAGAATTTTGTTAACAGCCACACATTGACGTTTCTGGGATCTATTAAGATTCAGCCGAAGAACCCACTAGCCCTAAGAGATAAAGAGTCAATGCAAAATATTCGCAATCACACTTCCTTTCGCCTAGTTTCGTCTTCGTCAAATGCTTCTTTCTTCTTTCTCATTAATCGGGTTATCAACAACAACAAGGGTCTATGAAAAATTTAACAATGGAAAAGATCCGGTTAATAGTCGGTTAAAAGCTATTCATTGAGCGAATTGAGGCTGGGGTGATAAAACCACAGTTTTAATCGTAAAGAGGAAGTTGAATTTTGGTTGAATTTCTGTTATGCGTCATTGTTATCTACCAAAGAAAAAACGCCGTTCAGAAAAATAAGAACAAACAAATTCTCATACCGATGTAAACAAACAAAGCGGGAGCAGTCGACAGCAGAGATAAAGTCGAAATTTCGTTATTTTGTACTTGATACTGTTGTGTTCCTGTAAATGTGTTCCTGTAAATGTAAAAGTGCTTCATTTGTTACATCTTAGGATTGAAGCTAATTATGGTCTAGTCATAGTCAAGAGTTATAACGCTGGTTGAGTCACTTCCCATCACCCCTAACCAAAACCTCAGTTTTCATCATGGTATCTAAAAAGAAGAGGCCAAACACGGTAAGCAATTTCGTTCCGGTGCGTTTTATCATTTGTCATGACGTCTATAATGAAATAAAACTTAATTTCAGCCTGTGATAGAAGTTGAAAGTATCGGACAAATAAATACCTCAATATCCGAGGAACCGAGTCCATCCCCAGCTACCACAGAGTTTAACGACGAAGCTCGAGAAGAGAGAAAGTTTCTGTTCAAAGATGCCGCTTATCAAATGGTTTGTTGCGTTAAAAGATTTCATAAATAAAATACCATTGATGTGTTAGTGTTAGCCAATAAAGTGATATCCAATTGTTCTATGTGTTTCAGCGGGCAAACAAAAGTGGCAATAAAAGAAAGGGTGGAAAATCTTTGAAGCAGATTTTGACTCAAGAGAGAACACTGCCTTGGCCTGCAAGTAGTGTTTTATGTAAGTATTGCAAGAATGGCAGCATCAGCCAATATATTCAATTGCTTCATTGTGGCTCTCCCCTCTTTTTTCTTGCAGACAGTTCAATCAATGCACCTCCTTCCTTCGTGCCCTGTAAAAAGTACTCTGATATTTCTGGGCTACAGGTGGGATTTAAAATCACAGTTTATTATGTGGTTTACAGATAGGTCAATGAACTTAATCCAACTAGTTTGTTTGTTGGTTTGTTACAGGCAAATTATACAGATCCACAGACAAAACTTTTCTATGCTTCTGCTGAAGAGTTTGGCACTATACGTCGACTACCAAGTGATATAGTTGCTGGTTATTTAGCTTTGAGACGTGCAAATAATCCAATAAGTTAATATAAACATAGTTTTTAAAAAATTCTAACTGCTTAAAAGTATTGAAATAATTGATTAAAAGTTGTCCCTATTGAACATTGTTTAGTGCAGCTGCAATAAGACAAATGAGCATATAATACTGAAAGGGTATTAACAATACTTTGCTTGAGATGGGCAATACTTAACAGAATTGAGCAATCAAAAATAATTTCATTTTTATAAAATATTAAACATTTGGATACAACAAGGGACATTTAAAAAATGGTTCAGAACAATATAAAAAAATAGTGAAACATATCTTTTTTGACTGTTTCTTTGTCTTAATGAATTGACGTATTGCGATTACATATTTATAGGAAGTCTCTTCTTCAGACTCAGTGAGAGTTCATACACAAGTATGGAGACAAGAGAACCAAAGACATGTCGATGATACATTTGCTTCAATTCAAACCCTTTGTTGAGATACAACTCTCGCGCTCCATTGTGACATTCTGAAGTAACAAGTTCCACTGCAGAGTATCCCTTTCCTGCAGCAAACTTTGTAACTTCATCGACAAGTTTCGAACCAATTCCTTTGCGCTGATAAAGTGGATGAACAGCCATACGCCTCAGCCATGCTGTATTCTCTTCATTCTTGCTTCTCGTTGCTGCAATAGTACCAATAACCTTTTTTCTGAGGTGTGAGGCAAGCTGAACGCATTGACGTTGCATTTCACTCTCAGTCATTACTAAGTATTTAGCATGTTTTGGCTCCTGAGACATGAACATTGGCTCACAGGCTTCGGCCACCCAAAACCCTGTGTAGTCCGATGACATGTAGAAACGGGGAATGTTTGAGATATCCTGCATCATTTCCTGTGCCTTGAATGTGTGGCCGAGGTAGATGATGACATACATGGCCACAATGACAACCGGTATTGAGCCTAGGCATACACTCAGAGGGACACCCATGAAGATGAACATGACAGCTGATGTGACGACCATGGCCTGGAAGGTGATCTCCCTGGTGAGCCCCGCCAGGAAGGCCGTGTTGACGGTCGACATGGTGCCCTCCCGGAGGATTTCCTGGCACTGCAGCTCGTCGCCCGGCCTGTAGTCGCGAATCACGATGACATGGTCCATGGTTCAAGTCCAACCACTGGCACTGCTTGACGTGTACGGACACGGAATCCCTCTCAAGCTCTTGGGTCTTGCCGGCTCGGCTCCTCGCCGGGTACGCTACAGCAACAGCGTAACAGCAATCAGCAATCCCTGAACAGCCAACTCACAATTAGTTAAAACAGGCGAACTTGGCCGCGCCCTCGGCCGACATGAGATTAAAATGCTGACCGGCGGCCAGCCAAGACTGCGGATCCAGCGTTCTTGGATACACCTTTCGACACTCCCGTTTTCTTTCTGCTAAACTGTTGACAACGGCAAAGTCAACAAACGGGTTTTCTCTCCTTTTTCCTCTTTCTTCCTCCCTCTCCTCTCTGCCCCCCCCCCCTTCCCCCTCACTCGCCATCCTTTCTGCTGAACGTAAAATTTGCCATATTACTGCTTTTGAGGACATCCGGTCAATCTCTTCGACGACTTTCAACAAGGCCATGCAAACCCTAAACCTTCAGCCAGCAGCGGCAGCGGCTGAACCTGAACTTGAAGGCCGATTCCACCGATTCCTTGAGAACAATTTCGTTTTTTGTGTTTTCTCCCCTTAATATTCTTGTCTAATCTCCAGTTTTCATTTAAACATCAAAATGGGGGTCCCTAAATTTTTTAGATATATCAGTGAACGTTATCCATGTCTCAGTGAGCTTGTCAAAGAATACCAGGTATTATTCTCTATGAAAATATCTAATAAAATATTTTTGTCACCTCTTGACACATTTGGAGTTTGTCTCCGCGTTTCCTTATTTTTCTTTCTACATAATCAGAATACAACCTCACATTTCATTTCCATTTAGTTTTGCCATTTGTAATAAACACAACTTTTAACCTTAAATTTTTTGTTAACTCTTCTATGTCAATCTTATTATGCCTTGACACATTCTCCCATCGTTTGAGAGGATACTTGTATGTACCTCTATCAGTATATCTGCTTTAATTGACAATGTTGGTCAGTGAAATTAAACATTTTGCTGTTTTGAATGACCGCGTCACTGTTATATTCCCTGAATGGATTGATTTATCAACCTTGCAGCTTCAGCTTTACTTCATTTTAGGACCAATATTTGTTTATTTTTGTCCTTTTCTCCAGATCCCAGAGTTCGACAACCTGTACCTGGACATGAACGGTGTCATCCATATGTGTTCACATCCGAATGATTTTGACCCACATTTCAGAATTACTGAAGAAAGAATATTTAAAGACATATTTCACTACCTTGAGGTCTGTATCTTTCTACTGTAAATATTTTATTCTTGCACTGTTGTGTACTAATTTAATAAGCACATTTTATTTTTAATTCATTGCAGGTTCTTTTCCAACTGATCAAACCAAGGAAATTGTTCTTTATGGCTGTAGATGGTGTTGCTCCTAGAGCTAAAATGAATCAGCAAAGAGGCCGCAGGTACTCACATAATTGTTTTAGTAACTGTTCTTGTTGTCTTGTTGGTTTTTAAATGGTGAGTAAAAGCTAAATTTCTTTCCATTTAAGATTTCGCTCAGCAAAAGAAGCAGAAGTTCTGGAGAAACGAGCTGAAGCTAAAGGGGAAAAGTTGCCGAAAGAGGCTCGATTTGATTCCAACTGTATTACTCCTGGTACAGTTTTCATGGCCCGATTGCATGAACAACTAAAGTACTTTGTCGCATCTAAAATGTCTTGTGATGCTCAGTGGAAAGGTGTCAAAGTTATTCTTTCAGGACATGAGGTATGAAAGACTCTACCCTGGAAACCTTTATGAGTGTGTGAGTGTGCGTTGTTATGTGACTGAAATCAATCTATTACAGACACCTGGTGAAGGGGAGCACAAGATTATGGATTATATACGTTGGATGAAAACACAGCCAGGGTATGATCCAAACACACGTCACTGTCTGTATGGGTTGGATGCTGACCTGATGATGCTTGGTCTGTGCACACATGAACCTCATTTCTCCCTCCTTCGTGAGGAAGTGAAGTTTGGCAAACAATCCAAACGAATTACTGTACCAGAAGAGACCAAATTTTACCTCTTACATCTTTCCCTCATGAGAGAGTATCTTGGTTTAGAATTCCAATCACTGAAAAATAAATTGAAATTTCCATATGATGTAGAATCTATTATAGATGACTGGGTAAGATTATGTTCAAACCTAAATCTTTTTTTTTTTTTTCTTGTCTTGTTTAAGTATGTTTCAATGCAGCTTTTTAACACCTCAGGTTCTTATGGGCTTTCTTGTTGGAAATGATTTTATTCCTCATTTACCTGATGTCCACATAGCAAGTGGAGCTTTGCCCATGTTATATAATGCCTATATGGAGGTGCTTCCAACTTTAGATGGGTATATTAATGAAAACGGTTATCTTAATCTGTACCGCTTTCAAAAGTTCATGGAAAAATTGGCTGCTTTTGACTTAAACCAATTCAAAGAAGCTTATGCTGATATGAAATACTTCGAAAGCAAAACAAACCGTAAGATGGGGTCAAAGGATGAACGCAATGTAAGATACATGTTTATGGTGGTTTTATTGTTGGTTTAGCAGAAAATTTAGTTGGTACTGTATTGTGTACATTTTATGTGTTTTTAACTAGAGCAAGAATGGAGAGCCTGACCACAGTCAATCCAAGACTGGTATATCTGAGCTTGATGCACTTATCAAAGCAACAAATGAAATGGTGAGAAAGCAACTTTTTGGCTCAACCTAATTAAGTACATATGGGTCTGATTGTGTTTGAAATAATATTTTGATGTCATCGGAGAATTTATAAAGCTATTAGTGATTAACATCTGGTTAAATTTCAGGTCCTTGAGAAATTCTTTGATGAAGAAGACGGGGATGAGACAGTTGCTGATGAAGAAGAAGATGACGTAGATGTTTTTGCATCAAGAGTTTATGATGATGATTCAGACTCTGAAATATCAGATACATTTAGATGTGAATTTCATCAGCATAAGAAAGACTACTATCGAAACAAACTTGAATATGGAAAAGTCACAGAGTAAGTAATTACAGTACAATCCGCTTAAACCGTTTTGCCCGATTGCGCCGGTTCCGGACGTCTTAAGCGGAGAACGTTTTAACCGAAATTCGAAAAAAATGATTGAAAAACGCGTTTTTTTGCCGTAACTCAGTAGAGAAGACTGAAAAGACTCTAAAAATGCTTTGTTATGAAATCTTGAGTGGTAATACATTTAATGGGCTCTTGTCCAGCTCTCAGAACGCCCCGTGTTGTGACTTGTCGTGCCGCCCGCGCCGCCGCCGCCGTAGCCGAGCCCCGGGGTAGAGTGGCAAGGGGTAGTGGCAGCGTGGAGGTGCACGCGCTCGACATCGGAACGCAAACATACGCGTATTCGGCGAAAAAAGCGCTTCTTTAACGGTGCAAAACGGTTTAAACGAATGAAAAACGGCCCGAAACAACGATAAAAGCGGAGAAACGTCTTAAACGGAGACGGTTTAAGCGGACTCCTAATGCATTGTTTCGGCCTATGATTCGAATGTAGAATCGCTCTGAGACGTCTTAAGCGGAGAAACGGTTTAAACGGATACGGTTTAAGCGGATTGTACTGTACTTGCAAGACCTCAGCAATTGTTTATGTTCTCATTTTTATAATTTTAATTTGTATTTCAGGCAGGTGCTGAAAGACCAGGCTGAGGGCTATGTCCGAGCCATTCAGTGGAATCTTCACTATTATTATCATGGTGTGGCATCTTGGTCCTGGTACTATCCACATCACTATGCTCCATATGTCTCTGATATATGCAATTTCAAAGATGTGTCTTTAGAGTTTGAATTGGGTGAGCCTTTCAAACCTTTTGAACAACTTTTGGGAGTACTTCCTGCTGCAAGGTGTGCCAATCAAAAATTGATTTCTTTGACAGCTATTTTTCTTTATTGTTGGTCTCATGTTCTAAAAAATGTGTTCTCTTCTAGCAAATCTCTGCTGCCAGCACCATACCGAGAGTTAATGACTCATGATACCTCACCTATTTTAGAGTTCTATCCTCCAGAATTTCAGACAGACTTGAATGGTAAAAAGCAAGATTGGGAAGCTGTTGTCCTCATCCCATTCATTGATGAAAAACGACTCTTGGCAGCAATGGTTTCATGTGAAGAAAAATTAACAGTTGATGAAAGGAATCGTAACAGATTTGGACCAATGTCACAGTACACCTTTTCTGAGAAAAGCTTAGGTATTCAATAATTACATCTACTTGTCCTCTACCCCTGCCATATGTCAAAGGGCAATATGAAACTTTACCTTAATACTTTTTGAACTACTTTCTCAGGTGAATACAATGCTCCTGAGTATTTTCCTACTATTAAAAAGAATCATGCTGAGCTCCTTGAAATTTGGCGAGAGGAGTTGCGATTGGACCATAAGGACATAGTGTTTGGCCTTCCTCCCGGTGTTCGCCTAGATGTTTACTTCCCTGGATTCCCAACCTTCAAACATCTACCATTCACTGTATTTATCAACTTTGATTTTAACATTGCTCTGGCCGTCTTGTATGTTGCCTTTCACTGAATCAAATAACTATTTTTTAGGGAGAATTGAGGAAAGCTAAAGTTCAAGTATTTGACCAACCGAGCAGAGGAGACAACATGATCTTGACTTTATTGAACAATAAGGACATATCTTCACTGTCTCTGATTGATGCTGCTGACCAATATATCGGAAAGGATGTGTATTGTGGCTGGCCACACCTCACTGAGGGAAAAGTTGTGGGTGTGGCTGATGGTACAAAGAGATACAACCTTCTGTCCAATAGTAATGTTGCCCTAGAGAATTTGTCAAACAATCTTGCATCACAATGTGAAGCAGTGAAAAAAGGAGTTGCTAATGAGTATGTATGAAAGAATCGCAACTTAAATGGTTGCCTTTGTTTATTTTCTAATTTATTTATTTTTTTACATTGCCAATTAATTATTGTGTCAATCTTTACAACCAGCTATATGAGACGAATGGGTGTAGACATTGGGGAAACTCAACTTATTGTGTATGTTCGGCCTGTTGCTGGAAGGAAGTATGTCTTTGGCCAAGCAGGAAAGATTACTTTAGAAAAGGTCTATTCTGAAATTGAGACCCCATATGCCATACAAACAATTGTTGATGACATTGCAGTTCATGATGCAAGCTTTGTGCAGTTCAAAACTCTTGAACAAGTGTTTCCCTCTGGAAGTAAATGCTTCCTGCTTGCTTCTCCAATTTATGGTGGGATGGGTGAGGTAAGTACATATATTCTTTCATAAACCTTTAATTTTTTGTCAAGATATGTAGCCTCTTGATAGTTTGGAACTATTTTGGTTTTGGTCTAGGTTCTTGAAGTTAAAAAACAACCTGAAGGTCGCCTCCAAGTAATCATAACTTCTCATGGAGAACCAGACATTGAATATGTGCGCCAAAACCAGCATTCCATGAAACCACAGTTCATGACAGGTACTTACGAAATTTTTTAAAAAATACAGCAAAATAGAGCTTTACTTCTATTCCTTGGACTAACCCTAATACTTTGTTCTTAAACATGTTCATCTTGTGTTTTCAGGCAGTAAAGCTGCACAACACATTGGTATCAGTTCCCATATTTTGTCTCGAGTTACTGGGACTATATTTTTGGTTGTTGGTAACAAACAAGCTGATAATCCTAGCAAAATAAACATTGGTCTTAACCTTAAGTTCAACAAAAAGAATGAAGAGGTACTCTTACTTTTAATTTCGCTTCACAGATTTGATATCTGGATGTCTATATTTTTTCACCCTTGTACTTATTGCTTTGGTTTGTTTGATACCATTAAGGTCCCAGGCTACACCAAAAAGGACAACAACATGTGGCTTTATTCTAGGAAAGCCATTGCTCTTATAAGGGAATACGTGGAGAAATTTCCTGAAGTTTTTGAGCATCTCTGCAGGAAAACATCTGATGATGTATATGATGACAAGGACATATATCCAGGAGAAGATTCGTGAGTGTAGACTTAACTGAAGGCTGATGAAACCTTTTACGGTCTATATGGTTTATTTAATAACCTATTTTACTTCCTATGTTTAGTGCTGAGAAAGTTTCTGCTCTTTCAAAGTGGTTGAAAGAAATTCCAACTGCCTCTCTAGAACGACAGTCTTGTGGAGCTGAGGTTCTTGAGGAGGAAGTTGTAACACAACTTCAAGCAGTCATGAAAGTATTCAGTGAAAACCCTCCAGATCCTAAGAAATTGAAATTGCAGGTTAAGCCACATGTTCTGTTCAGGGTAAGTGTACATCTCATTCTGCTGTTACTCTAAATTTACCAAATACTATGTTCTTCTCATTTTTCAAAACAACTTGCTAATTAATTTGGTTTTCTTCAGTCTGAATTACGAGTTGGGAACTTGGCTCCTGATCCTACAACGACCTACCAATTGTTTGACCGAATAGTTAATGTACGTGATGACACTAGTGTTCCACTGGGACTCAAAGGAACAATTATTGGTAGGAATAGTCAACTTCTGTGCACCAAACTTCATCATTGGTATTTGGAATTTTTTAATAGTTACCTTCATCTTTCAGGCATTCGCCGAGCTGAAAAAGCAGCTGACACCATGTATGATGTATTATTTGATAATGAGTTTGAATCAGCAATGTCTATTGGTGGTTCAAAAGGATGTGCCTACAGGGTATCTAGAACTGCTTTTATTAATATTTCTCATGGATTTAGGCAAGGCCTCATTAATGAAACATACAGTAAGTCCACTGCATAGTCTGAACTATTTTTTAGTATTCAACTCAACTATCACAGGCAAGACCTGATTGTTTTGAGAAAGTATAATGAAGTCACATTTCTGTTTAGGAGTTATTCAACCTCATCCAAGAACTAACTCAGCATTCACTCCGTGGGCAGGTCAGGGAAAGACTGGTAACAACCAAGGTAATCCTATTACTTAACATTATGATATGGATCTTTATAATGTAAATTTTTATCTATCTATTTTTGGTTTTTCAGCAAACATGTCAAGACCAGGCCGGCAACAAGGAAATGAAGCCTTTGCAAACAGAAAGCCAAACAACTCTCACAGAACACAAACCAATGAAGCTTCTTCAAGTAAGAAGCATGGTGAATCTTCTAGATCTTCTGGTTTTCAGTTTCCTGTAAGTAATTTTTCTTTTTCAAAAATGATGTGTGCAATATAACTGTTTACAATAGTATGTATTTGAACTAATGTCTTTGCATTTGTTCTAATAAAGGCTCCGCCTAAGGTCCAGATTCTACCTAAAAGTGGTCCTAAGTTGCCTGATGCCTCCAACGAACAGTTGCTCTGGAAACAGCTCCAGGTAAACTTCACTGGTTTTCGTGTTTGTTTTTGTTTAATCTGTCTATGTTTCTTATTAGGTTGAAATTACAGAAGTAACAGAATTTTGAAGATGTTAGTGTGCTAAATTGTAAATCTGTTGCATATTTTCAAATTTGTATTCTAGATGGTCTCAACTAAGAGTAATGACCTCAAGCCCTCTGGTGCACCTCAGCCTGCAACAGCTGCACCACCCCCTGCAACGGCCTTACCCATTCCCAATCAAAATATGACAAATGCCATTGAGTCAAAAACAAATGTTTTGAAGATGATGCTTGGAGTTGCTCCAGGATCTGCTCCAGGACCTACTCAAGGAACTATTGCAGGAGCCACTCCAGGAGCTACTGGAGGGGCGGAGACTGTAAGAATATATGGACTTGAATGAATATTTTCTTTATAGCAATATGCTCATTTTGTTGCTGACGTTCTATTTTGTCTTGTTATTATTGCCTTGCAGGTGAACAATCCCATTCCAGCAGGTGCATCACATAGTAGACAACCTTGTGAACTTACCCCATTTGCCAAAGATTTGTGTGGGTTTTTGCTGCAGTTTTTCCAAAGGAAAGGTAAGATTACTCCACCAGTTGAGTGGCTAATACAGAAGTTCAAATGGGATTCTAGGGCAGTACTCGCTGCTCCATGTGTATTCACTCAATAGCATCAATGGTATTCATCTACAGGTGTTGGCATTCCTTTGTTTAACTTCATTCCGTACGGTTCTGATGTCATTGCTCAAATTAAACTGCCAGATGGCTCCACTGTGATAAGCAAACCTGTTCCAACAAAACAAGGGGTGAGACATTTTGGTATCCAAAATTGTTCAGATATTTTTAGTCCAGTAGTATTAAATGTTAATATTTTCCTGTTCCAGGCTGCCGACGCTGCTGCTGTGGAAGCATTACATTTACTTCAGTTGTGCCGTGTTTGCAAAAAGGATGACAGTGGAGTGAAACCATTACTGCAGTCCCAGCCTCAACTTAGTGGCCAACCTCAACAGTTTTTTGACCAATTCAGGCAAGGTCAATTCGCCCTACCGCAACGGCCTTCCATGCCTCCAGGTAAAACAGTTTCAGTTTGCAAGTTTTGAAAGTTTCAAGACAAGTATTCAGCTTTTTAATAAAGATTTTGAACTTCAGGGAACCCAATGTGGCAACATGCGCACAGACCTACTCTTGTTCGAGCTTCTTTTCCACAGGGGCCACCTCCATTTGCTCAGGTATGTCTTAACCATCAACAAATTCCATTTCCTATTTTTACATTCCTTACTCTTATGTATAAAGTATGCTAATTTTTGTTTTCTTTCTTTCTTTAAGGCTATGAGACATCCCTCAAATCATCCGTTGTCTAATCAGCGTCCTCCAAACCCACAATTTGTCCAGCATCCTCAATCTTCTTATCACCACCAACAACTGCCCCCAGCTAAAAAGCAGCACCTGCAGCCTAACAATCAATATCCCAGAAGAGGGGAGGTTGTTAGGAATAATTATCACGGAGGCCCCCAAAATCAAAATCAACATCCCCAAAACCAGCAGAAGTCTAGATCCAAAGAACTCAATTCGTTTGTGCCACTGCAAGCATTAAAAAAGCAAAGAAATAGACCTCGTAGAGAGCCTAAAGAAAATATAGCTGCGCAGACTTCAGTGAAGGCAAATGAAGAGGCAACTGTCCATGACACCGAAGAGGTAAGTTTAGTTTTAATAAAGTTGCAGTGTTTGTTTCTTGTTTATAATTCAGTTTTAGCTTTAGGAATTCCCATGAGTTTCAGCAATCTTTCAGGTATTGCAGTTGTCTTGATCCCATTTTAAAATATTTGTTGCAGAAAGGAAAAGGTGCATCAAAGGGACGGGCAAGCACTTCTTCAGAGCCCAATGCTGGCTCCACATCCTCTGGTGCCAATAAAGCCTCGAATGAAAGCGCAAGATCGGTGTCTAAAGGGGAGCCTCAAGAAGAAACTTCGGGAAGTTCTCGGTCTATTTCAAGAATGAAGAAATCCCGTTTAGCTATCAATTTCCAAAGCACATGATGTTGATATTATTGATTGATGGATGGATGTAATTACGAAATGAAGTTCTTTATGTATAAAGACTGACATTGATTTCCTGATTCTCCTTCTAAAGGCAATTTTTGTTCCTTTTTAAGTATTGGTTGTGTTGTTGATCACTGTAGGATAGAATACAATCGTCATCAAATTTACCCAGTGGTCAAACCAATTTTCAATGTTTCTATGAAATGACAAGTGTAGATTTAATTTGTGCAGCATGTGATCGTTCAGTACTTTTAGTTATCATTGTGACAAATCAAGTGATATTTTTGTGCTTTGATTGTGTAATTTTTTTAGAACATATTTTCTCTTGCTTCTTGTAGCGCATTTTCCTTGTTTTTATTTCTTTCACACAGCATCACAGCATGCTAATTATTTTGGAATAGTTGATAATCTTTGATGACATTATGTACAGTTATTTTGTCCATAGTTGTACCTTATCTTAGTAAATGTGGAACTTATCCTGAGTAGTGATGGAGGGAGTGCACATTACTGGTAAATGTGATAAACCAATCAATCAATATGGCCTTGTTTGTATGATTTGTAATGTTGTCTGAGGTATGTGGACTTATCAATTCAGCCATTTTGAACATAACATTGTGTGCCAAGGTCCAAATGGGGAATCAACAGAACATGTATCTTCTTTTGGTGCTGTGAACAATATTTATTTCAAAATATCAATAACCTCTGTATACTTTTGTTTACAAATCGATTGCTGCTGTAAAGGGTACAAATTAAATTGCTCCGTAAGTACACTTTTCATGTGCTCTTTGGTTCACTGGAGGCAGTATCATTCTTTCTTAGATACAAAGCACGACAAACTACAGACAAAGAAAGGTCTGAAGCTGGTGGTACTTCTGTGATCAAAGATTCGTTTAAAGGTATAGAATGACTGTCAGTAACATTACGTAAGTCATCAACAGCAGGTACAAGCATGAAATTAAGACCAGGGTAAAACAGAAAGGCAAATACTGCAAGGAGCACACACCCAAATATGGGTAGAGTCACAGCCCAATATTTCTGAGGCCAATAAGTCAACCCTAAAGAATGCAAGACAGGATCTGGCATTACTGCCCACATGAGGTACAGACCCAGAGCTGAACATGACCCCAAATACAAAACAAACCCATACACAGCCCGACTTGGGGAAGGAGATGGCGCATGTTCAGGCATTGTGATCACCCCCTGATTATTAAATCTCTTCCTTATGTTCAAATGTGTTGATAGTTATCACCAGAGGGAGGCCCAAATTTGGCAATAGTGTCAGTGCACAAAATTAGGTGATCCATGAACCCATTAACTGCAACTCTCACTTGACGAGCTTCGTCACCACAAAATTGCCTAAACAGAAAAAAAAAAAAAAAAGAGTTGTAAAACAAACATTTTAAATTTTTATAACAAAATACACAGACATTTACTTACACTGTCAAAGTATCTTTCTTGCAGGAAATATTTTTAACAACTTGACTGCGTTTTGGCTCGGAACCAACTCTTAACACATTGAAAGCTATTTCAGCTTCTCTTTGAGATGGAAATGGGATTTCAATGTCACTGAAATTTTAGTTAAGGCTTAACACAACAAGTTGAAATGGGAACCATCATACAAAAATAACATCTTGTACAACAAAGATATAAAATAAAATACAAGATTCACAATAAAACTTAGTATAAGTAATATATACATATATATATATAAAGCTGATTTTATTCTGACATAGGCAAAATTTTTTATAAAAATAATTACTTTTTATCAAACAGGCCAACAGTGCCAAAACTAACACTTATGAGATGTACAACTCGTAAAGCACAGTTTAATGTAGCATTGCTGGCATAGTGAACAATAAGCATTACAAAAAAGGCAAAAGAAATAATGCACCACAGAACTATTATAATAAGTTGAAATTTACAATGATATTAAATTGAATTGTAAGTATCACAGAGCAAAAGATTGACCACTGGGGACAAAATTTTCAGGAGTGCAATGAATGGTTGTTTATGAATTGATCCAGAGTTCAGGTGCTTAAGTACCAGAATAATATTAATTTTATACATATCAAAATACTGATCCATATTTACAATGCGGAAATTGTGAGATGTCCTAAAAATCTTTATCATGAAGTTTGATTTGTATAGCCAATAAAAAATCACAGGATTCAAGTCAAATAACCAATGCACATTTCAAGTAGGCAGGTATTGAATACATGCAACCAATTGAAACACATAACTTGGATTAGAAATATAGCAGCATTTTCAGGACTAGAAAATGGCTGAATTTTATTAACATTTTTGAAGTTCATCATTTGCTGCGAGCCAGACTTCAAAGAGGCCCTTTGCTTCATGAGTGCCATTCCACTGCCGGTCCAAACTTGCAAGTTTAAAGTCATCAAGAAGTCCCTTTTCCACAAGGACAGTTTCCAGGAAACGTAAACAGCCATGAGCATCCAGGGTTCTTCGATGCTCAGGGGCATCATCAGCAGAAAATCCCAAGAATGGTTCCTCAGAGGAGTCTGCTGAAGGAGCTAAAGATTCAGGGTCAATCTGACAAGATATTTCCATGGATAAAATTGTTTTCAGGACATCACAAATTTCAGATTCTACTTTAGCAATGCCACTGTCTGTCTCTGGTAATGGACTAGACAATGGTTTTACTACAAGATGGGTTTCCACATCAGGTTGATCAACGCGATCCTCAAAGTAGTCATTACATGGATCTGGGGTATCCTTCACCAGATTCTGTGATGATGGCGTAGGAGATACTGATTCATGTGCAACAGGTTCAGGTGTAGGGAGGGCAGGTGGTTTGTCAAACACCAAGTACCTTGGAACATTTGAATCTATCAGTAAAGCAGGATGAAGTGCCAAGGTGTATGGGTCACAACTCTCTGACGTGGGAAATTCAATTTCAATCTCTCCTTCCACTGGCATCAACTCAAAATCAAATTCACAATCAGATTCATATTGATCAAGGTTTGCCTGGAACTCAAGGCCATTGTGACCATTATAACTGAGAGGAACCAGTGGTGAAGTGCTGGTCAAAGGCTCTGCACGAACTTCTGCTAAAGTTTGAAGCATTGATTTCAAATGAGGCAAAATACTGTGAGTATGAAGTAAACTTTGAGAATTGTCATAATTAATCCAGGTGCTGAGGGCATCATACACTCGTGTTGCAAAATTAGTCTTATTAATTGTATTAGATGAGTCATGAAGTACAGAATTGAAAAACTCTGAGATTGCTGGTCTCGGAGTAGGAAACAAACAATACAAAATTATACCCTGTTCTTCACAGTAACGAGTAACATCCATATTTAGGCGGCTCCGCCTACCATCCACAAGAAGTAAAACTGGGAGGGTAACATTTTGTTGCTGCAGCCACTTCCGGAAAGTCACAATGTAATCAAGAAATATTTTTCCATTCACAAGACCATTTTCAGAGTAAGTCCCTATGCAGCCTGGTGGAAAGGATTCAGTTGTTTCTTGAGTCAAATCTTTAGATGGATACACAAACAACAAAGGTGCCATTCCACCTGAGGCTGAAAAAGTGGCTACTATGCTTGTACACTCCACACTAGCAGAAATACGGTCAGATTGATCAGGCCTATCTTTCTCATCCATTCTTTCATTCCGCTCCTGTTCAAGTAACTGTCCTGTCAGAGGATCAAAGAGGAATTCACCATGGTCAACATTAAAAACACGGTCAGGAAAGTCCAGTATAGACTCCTGGCCAATGGAAGCCATAAATTGTCTATGTTGCTGGCACCATTGTCGGACTTCATCGCGAGAAGTCACAGTCCGACTCCTTCTGGGGCCTGGGGCCATATCGTTACTTATTTCATAGACTCTCGGATGCCGAAGAAGAAAATTGCGCATCCAGCTGCGTCCAGGGCGTCCATTCTTGAAAGATGTCCTTCTATGATTGTTTTGTATAACATTTTGAGCCATGTCTTTCAAGTCTTCTGTCTTAAGAGGAAACCCTCGTTGATACAAATCAATAGCCCAAGACTCTAAAGTACGCTCTTCAGTTTTCGTAAGAAAAGGATTTGGACCTGGTGATGCGTCTACAGGCCTTTTCCCATCAAGTTTATCTAATAAGGTTGATCGAGGAATATTGTAAGTCTTAGCCGCTTGACGACGAGACATGCCACGCCATATGGCACGCATAGCGGCCAAAACATCTTCAGGTTTGTAGCTTTGACGTGCACAACTTTTTAATTTCTTCAAATAAGAACGTCGAAGTAAGTTTTTTCTTTTCCGATGCTTCTCAATGCTAGAGTTGCTAGTTAAGGACAATACAAACAATTGAATTAATAGTTACAGAATATTTTAAACTAAAAGCAAAATTGCTTCAGTGGGCAGTTACATCGCATTACATTTGGATTTACAGAACCCTAGCTGCATAAACAGTAGCTGCAATACAAGTAATACGTATAAAAATGTGCACTGAGTGGTACAATCACTGAATTAACATTTAACATAAGAAACGAACAGAATAAAAGCTTAGATGAGCAGAATGAATCCTAATAGTATCCAAGTCAAATTAAAGGGATTGATAGCATTATACAAAAGTTTAAATGCGAGAAACGTTATGATAAAAAAATAGGTTAGGTCACACCACTCAGGGATGATAACTGGATTAAATATTAAACAGAGAATTAGTAGAATGAATCGAGAGAACAAATAAACATTACGGAGATACATAAAATAAAAGACTTCATCAAAGGGAAGGATACACAACAAGAGCGTTGGCGCGGCTCTTGTCCATTGCGGAAGGCCGGACCCGGACCCACCACACCGCGAGTCATGAAATAGTCTGTGGCACCCTCATGCGCAATGTCTTCGACGCAGGGAGAGTCTACGGATCATAAGCTGCTCGGAACACACTACAAAAGTCTAACCTGAGACGTGAAAAGGCACTTTCAAAGAAGAAGTTTCAGTGTGTACAAATAGTACACTTTTCGAATGAAGCAGACTGATGTGTGTAAATGAAGTTGTCGTCACGTTGCCACCAGGTGGCGCCACAGTCGATCACCGCCCCCCACAAACCACCACAAACCACAGGTGGATACGGCCAGGGTTTGGATTTCTCTCTCCCCCTGCCAACACCGCACAAGAAGAAAATCAGGAACCCTTTCCGTAGGATCTTTTTTGGCGTGTGAGTCGCGAGAAAGATGTAAGTACACTTTCATCCACATTAATTTTACTCATCTGAGCACAACTTGTATGTACATCCGTTCCCCGTCCGTCTCAATTATCTGTACATTTCCTTCGGAACATTATTACTACGACTTATTGGCGTGTTTTTGTCCAATAACATTTTGTACCGTGGCCGTCTCTTCACGCTGTTCGGCCATCAGTGTGCGACACGTACATAAATAAACAATTCTGAACTTGGTTCGTTTCTGCATCCCTCTTACTGCTTTGAATGTTATCTTGAACCTAGTTCCTTGCTTAAGTATTTCTACGCACTTGAGCGTTGCAGTCTCACTTATTGTTCGCTCTTGGGCGGTTGTCAGGGCCTGCCGGGTAACCTCAGGGGACATGTTCGTGCCATCATTTCTCTCTTTTTCCTATTTAAATGTTTGTCGTAAATTCCTTGGCATTTGGAAGACCCAAATTGCACCAGCCCGCTGTTCCGTATCAGACTGTTTCGGTTCTCAACTGTTTTGTTTGGGTTTTCCTAGGTTAGGATCTCTAGCATTGTTTTAACACCCTACAATGAAACCCGCTTCCTGTTGTTTGTTGCAGCAGAAACATGTCGATCCGACCCGCCTTACGCGCGACCATAGTCAAGAAGCGCACCAAGAAGTTCACCCGCCATCAAAGTGACCGCTATGGCAAGCTCAAGGTATTACTACTGCGTCAATTTATTGTCACATTTGTTTTCCATATTCTTAGTGTGCACAATTCTTATATTGTCGTTCTTTGTTCAGCGTAACTGGCGTAAGCCCAAGGGTATTGACAACCGTGTCAGGCGTCGCTTCAAGGGCCAGTACCTGATGCCCAACATTGGTTACGGTAGCAATGCCCTGACCAGGCACATGCTGCCCACTGGATTCAAGAAGGTTCTTATTCACAATGTTAAGGTAAGCAAAGTAGATGACTGTCTGTCTGACATCTGTCTGTCAACTAGCAACCTACTTTATTTGAGGGCCCCAAGAGCTGGGTGCATCTATTTGTTCTAGTCAAATTTTGGCATTATTTGTGAAATGGCCCCCTTTCTCCTATTTTGGGGTTCCTAAATGAGAAGTCTGGGGAGGTATTTGTGGAAGGGCCAAATTTGGTTCCTAGCTCCTTTGTTCCTTTACTTACATCATATGCCTTGATATTTCAACCCTTCCCATTTGTGAAGACTTTCATTTCACTGAGTGTGTTATTTCACTATATTTTGTAATTTTTATTTATTCCGCTTACAGGAGCTTGAGGTGCTGATGATGCAGAACCGCAAGTACGCTGCCGAGATTGCCCACGGCGTTTCCTCCAAGAAGCGCAAGTCTATTGTTGAGAGAGCCCAGCAGCTGTCAATCAGGTTAACTAATGGAAATGCCCGCCTGCGCTCTGAGGAGAATGAATAAATCTTTTCTTAAGTAATCTTGCGCCGTTTCTTATTTTACATATTTCGACTATCTTTAAGTTTTTAATACTTGACACGTAAATACAGGACCCTGCTCCAACATTTGTTATATTAGCAGCACTTGATCAGAAGTTCTGGTTTGAGTAAGACTGACTGATACTTAGGTAAACAAATTTGAGATTAGCGTGATCTACAGCAGAAGCAACCAAATTCAAATGGATGGGGAATCCGCCAATCCTTTGATACATGATGGAGAGAGCTGCATGCATTGATGCATTTGTTGGAAGGGGAAATAACCAAAATCTGAGGTACATTCTGATATTGACATTTTATTGCATAAAACAGCTGTTCAGCTTGTAAAACTATGATGCAGCCTTCCCTTTGGGTTTAGACTGAATTCTATCCTTAGTTTTTTCTTTGGCCTTCTCATACAAGGGTAACAATTGTCCCTCCTTGGCCAATACCTTGAGCATTTCAACAATTAAAGGCAAGTAATTATGTTTACGGCGAACATTCTCAACTTGGTAACGCTTCTTCTTACGATCCTCTTCTTCAATCAGCAGTCTCAGTCTTGAAAGTTCGGCTTGTTGACTATCAGTCTCCATACCACCTTCCTGAAATAGAAAAGAACAAAAGCTAAGAATCATTGGGATCACATAATTGTGAGGGTACAGTATAATGATATGACGGCTTTTACCTCCATCTGCTTCTCAATCTTCTGCATCTTACTTTCATATTTTGCTTTGCGATCAGAGACAATCGCCATTAAGTTGAAATTGATTTCACCTTCACTGTATCTGGAGACAAAAACAAGTTAGGAAAACTTCTAACACAACAAGGGCCACAGAATGAAAGAAATCCACTTTGACACCCTTACTTCTTCATACGCTTTTCAATAACAGGCCGAACTACATCTAACCAATCCTTCTCTGCTGGGACAGGGCCCAAGTCAACAGGACCTTCTCTAATGCCGTCAAGCTCGTAGAGTCTCCCATCTATCGGCAAATAGCTTACAAAGTGGTACACATCATCGTCTTTGGTGGCAGCTTTGCTATCAAATTCAAACAAAGTTTGCCTAAAGGAAAACAAAATGTTAAGTTAACTTCAGACTTTTGGTGACAATTGAGTTAAGACAAAACAGAAAAAATGACACACACCTGGCAAAGGAATTGTGGACTGAACGGATGGTCTCAGAATTGCTAAGAGATAACCCTTTCATGTTTGCATCAAACGACTGACAGAATTCTTTAAATTCTGTTAGAGTGGGGCCGAGAGTTATGTCAGGATGCTTGCAATTGAGCAAAATGCTGATAATCGCTTGTGTTGCACATGCGTTATTTATCACCTGCAAAGAAAGACACATGAGAAGTGGAATCCATAAATTGAGCGATAACTGGTATTAACATAAATTTACCTGCTGGGCGAAAAATATTTTGTCAAGACGGGTATCCTGAACTATGGCGCCGGATGCTTCTTCATCTTTGATCCATTTGAAAAGAAAGATTAATCCATGAATAGGTCTGCAACAATGATCACCATTAATAGAAGCAGCATATACATTGACTAATTGACTACATGAGCTAATCAATAGAAACTCACTTGAGGTTCTCAAACTGATCAGCATCCAAGCTCCACAGTTCCTCCACTTGACAACCTTTCACACCTGAAGAAGGAAAAAAACACGAACGCTAGAGATAACGTTATAGCACGCAAACCAAAACAAAGGTTCTACAGATTCAAAATACCGAACGGGTTCTGGTCAAAAACAAGAGCTGCATAAAAATTAAATTTAAAATACACAGGGCAGGGAAAGCTTTACATATTAATAAAATGTTAACCTGGGGAAAAAACAATTGTGCCCGTAATGACAGTGACAACCAAATTTGATCATGACCTCTTGGAGTGAAACTACAAACAAAGCGATCACAAGAGGACATGAGCACAAAAAGCGACTCGAGAGGCTTAAACTGCAGTAACATATCCGTCTCTGTGACAGATTTCTCTTTGAAAGACTCGCTTCTTTGCTTCTTTGAATGTCATTGCCACCGCCGTAACACTGATGCTGCGCTTACCAAACTTATTAATCAGCTCCGTGAATACTCCCGGATCACTTTCAATGAGGCACCAGTCTCCGGCCGACATTTTCAATAAATCAGTTTACTTCTTGGTGATGGGTTAGCCCCTAGTTTAAGGGACAATATCTACAAAAATAACGCAAGTGAACGGGCCGTAACCCTTCTTCTTGAGTGGAGTGGTGAATGGGAGCAGGGTGAGGGGAGGGGTGAGGGTGGGGGACCGGCGAAACGGTAAAACGATCTCTCGAAGAGAATCGATCACGAAGGTAAACAACAGGTTCGGAAATCTAGGAAGCCGTTGCTTGTGTTGCGTCGGAATCTCCGGGGTCGTGAAGGCGTGCATTTTCTTCCGTGCGTGCGTGTTGCCTGCGGCGCCTGCGGTGACGGGCCAGCGTGCGTGCATTTCGCGCTCTTGACATTTACATCTTACGTCCCTTCGTCCCGTTTCCCCGGAGTGCGTGTGCACGCTAGTGGTTCAGCAGAGAAGAGTTTCAACTTTGGTTTGGAGGGTGACTCGCCCTCGCAGCGACTCCTGAGCCTCCACCATTAAACCAAAACCGCAGGCGAATGACGTCCTCCGGCGAAGTGATAGCCCTTGAGGGCGCCGGGGCCGGCGCAGACCCCATCATCTTCAAAACCAACTTCAAGCCGAAGAAGCACTTAAAGCATCGCCCGTATTTCATGGACCCAGCCATAGTGCCCAGAGTTAAACAGGTACGAACGCTTGATCCCCAGGCGCGACACTGCCTGCGGTGTCACGGATAGGTTAGTCGGCAATGAAAGAGACTTTCACTGTTTTGGTCTGCCCTCTCGCTGCTTTTCGTAGTTTTGTATTTATTTTCATGCATTATAACGGTTGAACATTATTGAAGGCATCATGAGAAGCAATCTGTCATTTCAGTGTCAAAGTTTTGAAACACTGGTTTCAGTGGATGAAGGCACCTACCTGTTGACATGTTTTATTCTAATCTCTTCCATGACAGTCTTTGAAAATTGAGTTTTAAAACTTTGAATTCGTAATTAGGTCTGAAAACTTACGAGCAAGACTTTAGTCCTCTGTACCAGTTCTGTTTTTGGTAGTTTCCTGATCAGTATAATTATAGTATAATTTTACTGTTTTTGTAATGTGGTGAATCATTGTTTTCAGTATTTAGAAGAGAACAAAGATAAAGTATATGTTGACATTGATGATATGGTTACTGCTCTCCAACGAAAATACAGAGAGTACGGAAAGAAGAAACGAATGGCGTTTAAAAGTATTGTTGAGAAAGGTAAATACACCAATTTGCAATCTGCTTTGTAGTTTTTCACCTGTTTTGTAGCTTTTTATTTGCTTTGATTGTCCTGTAATATTCTACATTTGCTTCTTTTCAGCTTTTTCTGTTGTGTTAAAGAATTACAGTTTAAATGATGATGAGCTGCAAAATGCTCTTGGATCAGAATCATCAAGTGACATGGAAATTGAATCAGACGATGAAGTTGATCTTATTGTTGTGAGTACTTTATTAACACATTTCTGACACTACTTGTTATTTCTTAATAATAGTGAAGCAGAGCTGTTTTTTTAACTCTGAGAACATTAACTAAGCTCCTTGTGTAGCTGAATCCCAATTTCTTTTGCCATCTCTTGCATTTTTAAAGGTTTCTTTTTAGTATTGATTTGTCTTACATTTCCTTATTTTCTTCTCGCAGGATACAAACAATTCAAGTAATGATCAGATTGTAAACATGTACTTGCAGCAGCAACCTCAAAAGTAAGTTCAAGATAGATTATGTTTTCCAATAACTAAGCAAAATTGTAAGGTTATTTCTGCCTTGCTGTTAATATTTTTAACTATTCATCAAATATTTAAATTAATCAGCCTATATATTCTTTTAACCAAGGTCTATAAGGAAACACAACAATGAAGGAGCTAAAGAACTGATAGACATTAGCAGCGATGATGAAGACCAAGTGCCTGCCAAGCGGTCTAAACAAGCAGATACAACAAGCAACAGTGAACCTATAGTGCCTTTACCCCAAATTCCTCAGTCTCCCAAAACTACAAATGGACATGCCACTCCAAAGGAAGTTGCTGTAACTCGTGATGTAACTATTGTAAGTATTTTATTGTTATCAATCAATTAAAATATTGGATTTTTGTGCGATTTTACATTTTTTAATGCTCTTTCTTTTGTGTTCTGTTCATTAGACTGCCGTTCCCCCTGCCACTGTTGCACCTGTTGTTGCCTCTACTGTTCCTTCCGTCGCTCCTTCAGTCACCCCTTCAGTTGTACCGGAAAGACCAAAACGGAAGCGTCCCGTAGCAGATGGGGGTGCTAGCTCAACACCCTCTCTCAATGGTGATGTGTCCAAAAGGAGGAAAGACTTTCCTGTCACACGTCCTTGTTGTTCTTTCAAGGATGTAGGAGGGAGTACTAAAGTTCTCCAGGTTAGGATTGAAACCTCTACGTCATGTTAGTTAATGGAATTATTTTTCTGATGAGGCTCTAATGTTCTTTTATTCTTTTTATTAGGAAGTATGTAAATTACTAGTGCATTTACAACATCCTGAGATTTTTGAGCAAATTGGTGTTACTCCACCTCGTGGATTTCTACTTCATGGCCCTCCCGGCTGTGGCAAAAGTCTTCTCGCAAATGCGATTGCTGGTGTAAGTATAATACCCCATTCTGTTTAATGTGTGTCACCCATGTAATCTCTAAATTGATTTTTTTTTTCTGCAGGAACTTCAAATTCCCATGTTGAAGGTTGCAGCCCCAGAAATTGTTGCAGGAGTTTCTGGTGAGTCAGAAGAACGAATACGTGATCTCTTTGACCAAGCTGCATCTATTGCCCCATGCGTACTTTTCATTGACGAAATTGATGCTATAACTCCCAATCGAAATAATGCCCAGCGTGAAATGGAACGGCGCATTGTTGCACAACTTTTAACCACTTTGGATGGTAAGTACTTAATATTTAACTTTTTGAGGGAACTTGTGATTTGTGAGTGTAAACCATTGTTCTCGTTTTTTGACAGAGCTTAGTGAGAAAGAAGGTGGAAATCAAGTGTTGGTTGTTGGCGCAACAAACCGCCCAGATTCTCTGGACCCTGCTCTAAGAAGAGCTGGTCGGTTTGATCGAGAAGTTTGTATGGGTATTCCTGACCAGGGAGCAAGAGCCCACATTTTGAGAGTTGTTTGCGGTCGTTTGGCATTAGCCCCAGAGGTATCCTCTGATGCTGGCATCAATGAGCTGGCATCTCTCACTCCTGGCTTTGTTGGTGCAGATCTTGCCTCATTGACCCGAGAAGCTGCTATGGTTGCTGTTAACAGGTTTGTGTGGGTCGGGTTAATATCGTGATATGTTTACCTCTATTTTATTTCAGGTGAATATAATCTCTTTTAAATTTTGCAGAGTATTTTCCCAGCTAGAAGCAAAAGAAAAGGAAGGAAAGGAAGCTGACATTAAAGAAGCAAAAGAAAAGGAAGCGGACATTCAAGTTCAACCTCAGACCATTGTACCTGAGGGCAATGATAAAATTGAGGGGCCATCAGAAATTTTAGAGACTGAAAGCAAAGTGGACAATTGTGACAAAGACAACTCAGTGGTTGATCAAGAAGCAATGGATACCTCTGAAGTGGTTCAAATTACAACATCAACCGAAAACATACCAGAAGTTGCTCCTGAGTCGTCAGACACAGTAACTTTAATGGAGGGAGATAATGAGACTGTTTTAACTGGGGAAGCGGTGGTTGAGAATAATGCAATATATGAAGAGGTGAAGATTGATGAGGCTGTCATAACAGAAGAGCAGAATGAAAATGTGGAAAAAGAAACTATTGTTGATGGCGATAAGGCAGGAGAAAGTATCATTCCACCCCAAACAGATGCTCCCTTACTATCAACAGAGGTTGTCGATATAACTCCTGAGAACAGCAATAAACTTCAAAATGTCAGTCAAAAACCCCATGATGATATTGAAGTTATGGAGGTAGCAGTTGCCAGTGGTGGTGATGAAACACCAAAGCCTTCTGTGAATCAATCAGATGAGGTCAGAGAAAAAGTCTTTTTTTTTTCTGTTTTCTGTGCCCTTTACAGTCTCTTATGCTTTATTTTTCTGTCTGCAGGTTAAAGAGAAAGAGTTGGCACTTTCACAAAAGTTACAGCCTTTATCCATTTGGTCACCAGAGCTTTGCCAGCTGATGGCCTGGCTTCACAACTCTCCCCTTACAGCAGCACAGCTGGGCGACCTGACAATCACTATGTCAGATTTTCATGAGGCTCTTCACCATGTACAACCGTCCGCCAAAAGGGAAGGTTTTGCCACTGTTCCTGATGTAACTTGGGAGGATGTTGGCTCTTTGGCTAATGTCAGGGCAGAATTGCAACTGTGTGTCCTGGCACCTGTAAGGTATGCAGAGCAGTACTCTCAGCTGGGACTGAATGCGCCGACTGGTGTGTTGCTGTGTGGACCTCCTGGATGTGGTAAAACTCTTCTTGCAAAAGCAGTGGCTAATGAGGCTGGCATAAACTTCATTTCTGTCAAGGGACCTGAACTTCTAAACATGGTATGTGTGCAGTGTAGTGATAATTTATTTGGTTGTACTATGCCCATTTAAAGTAGTATTATTAATCATTGAATGTGGTATAACTGGGGATTCTTTCTTTGATTTCAATAGTATGTTGGTGAAAGTGAGCGTGCTGTTCGTCAAGTTTTCCAGAGGGCACGAAATTCTGCTCCTTGTGTGATCTTCTTTGATGAACTTGATGCCCTCTGTCCAAGGCGTTCAGACTCCGGTGATGTGAGTATTTTGGAATAGTTACTTTCTTTTTTATGCCGTATCCACAACTAATATTTGTTTAATTATTTATGGGTTTTAGAATGGAGTTAGCAGCAGGGTTGTGAATCAGCTTTTAACAGAAATGGATGGTGTTGAAGGCAGGTCAGCTGTGTACCTGATGGCTGCATCTAACCGGCCTGACATAATAGACCCAGCAGTTTTGAGACCAGGCCGACTGGACAAAATAATTTATGTGGGATTGCCAAATGCTGAAGATCGGAAAGATATTTTAAGAGCATTAACCAAGGTAGAGTTAGCACTTTCAATATCCTTGCCTTGTATTGCTGTCAGCGTAACACTCCCAATTTTACTTAAATTCCATGATTGCCTTTCAGAATGGAACAAAGCCTCTGTTGGCTTCTGATGTTAATTTATCAGAGATTGCAAGCAGAGTTGAATTGGAGGGTTACTCAGGTGCTGATTTGGCTGCTCTTGTAAAAGAAGCAGGTGTTCATGCATTGCGAGAGTTCATTGCAACAGGAGAAAATCCACAAGCTGGTCCCCTTTCTGTAGCCATCAAACATTTCAACTCAGCTGCAGCCAAAATCAGGCCATCAGTGACAGGAAAGGTAAGTTTTGTATTGTGGTTTGTTAAGTCCTTCTCTGGTTACCCTTTAACTTGAATAATTTTTTGTTGTTTGAAGGCTCTGAAGCATTATGAAAAGCTCAAGGAGATGTACGGCACCCCTTCACCTGAAGAAAAACCTAAACCTACGGAAACGTCTTAAAGACTCTTTCCTATTGTGGGAAAACAATAGTGTGAATATGCACCTTCTTATATTTCTGATTAGGCCACATAATTTTTATTTGTATGGAAAAGGTTTTGTTGTCAGCACATCTGTTTTTGCAGTCCTGTGCACCACTTGCTTCATTTAAAGGTTTGACCATTGTTTGTTTGTTAGATTTGAAATATGCAAATAGTGTGGATTAGTGTTCTTTTTGTTCAATAAGTGTAAATATTTTGGTAACAACAATTTTATTCTTAAAAATGATGGCCCGTTTAAATGAAATGTATCTAAGGAATCTATAAATTGACTCTGATTACCATGCTTACTGCACAGGATAGAGAAGTTGGTCTTATTAACATCAAATGTTAAAAGTCTGTAGTGCTGGGCAGTAAACATGTTAGCTTATATTTATACTGCATTTAATCAAGGATTAAAAATTTGTTATAATGCATTTTATGCCCCTGCCCAATTTGTGCTTATTAATTAACCCTGAACTAATCCATACCAGTGCTTTGAAAGATGCGTAGATTACAATCATTTGTATTGCCAATTAAACAGTTTAATAAGGAGACCTTAAGTACTACTTCACAATAATAAAACTACTAAGGGCACATTTAAGTAGCTAAAATCACGCCATGGATTTCATAAGTACATTTTTACTAAGTTTATTTCTCTCTTGTGAGGTGGTGCAGAACCAATGAAATGGTGTCTGATAAAAGCTGGGTGCAATCAGTGTGTGCATCCAAACCCACCAATACTTAAAAAAGAAATGCAGCAATGAACCTGAATGACATTAATGTCATGGACCATAAACAAGCATGAGCTTGCATTCAGATGAAACTGCTCTATGCACATAAATTATCCTTGTGTCAAAACGTTTACACACAAGTTGGCAAATTAAAATTAAAATGATAGGCAAAACCGGTGGGTAACTCAAGCTAATCAATGAAGTCATTCATTTTATCCTACGGATCACAGACAGAAGCATACTTAAGTAACAATAAACGAAAACATCACATAAATGTATGTATGTAAGAAAATAACAACAAAATAGAATCTTTTGGTTTTTTTTCTGAAGACAGATTTGTTGTTAAAAATTGTTTTACTAACACAGAGAGCTTTTAAGATTTCACGTCATCTTTATCTGTACAGAAAAACTTGTGAGACTTCAACTTTAAGTAGACGGGTTCCTCCAATTCTTTCTCTGCAACTGAAATATCTTCATAAATTTGTTTCACCAATGCATCTGAATAAAGGAAAGAGGAAAAGGAATGAGGCTCCATGTAAGGTTGCATACCACAAGCAGATTTATCTATTCTTTACCTAAAGATGTAAAGTCCTTTTCTGGCCGCAGATAACCCACCATACAGACCCTCAAATTTCTTCCATAAAAGTCTTGTGAAAATTTAGTTAAAATGTGAGTTTCCTGCAACATAGGAAAATACATGACAAAAGTTAAGGGAATCCATACTCCATAAGACAAAAATTTAGCAGTTGGCCACAACTCATTACCATGGACTTTTCGACATTTTTGAAGTAAGGATTCCATCCCACACTCATCACCATTTTATGGACTGTTCCTTCATCTATTTGGGCCCAGCCAAAATATATTCCAGTTCCCACTTCTTCAGGCAATTCTTTCACAATATGTGGCTCAAAGTTGGCTAGAAAAAAAACATAGGAAGAAGATGAGCGTCGAAAAGCCATGAAAAGGGCATTCCCGACCAGCTGGAGGCCAGCTGATGTAATTACACTTTGAGGTTATGTTACTCCTGCAAAAGCGGAGGTTCCCGCAAAAGTCAACGACAGTATATCTTACCTGTGGGAATACCGAGTTCTTTCGACCCTCTACCGAAACCCTTGACAACGATGCCCGAAGCAAAGTGCGGCAAGCCCTTACTGAAAGTCATTTTTAGAGGGGACAAAGCTGTCAGCTCACGGAACGTTCCAGGCGCACTGCAAACCCGTTGCAGCGAATATATGGGCAACTGATTGGTGGACTCCCCCGCGGGCCCTGTGATCGGGGATTACAGATTGTGGGTTGCGGGTGGGATCGCGAGCTTCAGGAACCGCTCAACACGTCACCCGCCCTCGCTTTCGCTTTCGCTATCGCACACCCGACCGGACCGACCCTCCTCTCGCCTCGCAACCTGCTTGCCTACTCGCCGAAAACTTTGAGTTGAGCGGGTTATGTCGCCCCTGCGGGTGGAGATATGCTGCCAACTGTGCGGGGCGAAGGCCGCTAGCCACCCAGCGCAGGCAGGCGGGGGCGCTCGCGCTCAACGGGGAAAATTGGAACGTCTCTGACACGAGGATCGTGAAATACGAAAGAAATTCCAAATGCCTGACGTGCTTCCCACCGGGCGAGCCGGCATCCGATGGGTCCGTGTTTCTGTTGGGGTGGCAGCACAACACCGCGACACCCAGCACGCGCCCGCGCGCCGTTTCTCTCGGGCCCGCGATTCGCGGATTTCTGATTTCTGTACTGTAATCGTCGGATAGCGCTTCCAGACATCGCACAGTCGCTCGCTAGCCACTGGGAAACGGTATCGGCGAGCGTCACCGTTCACAGAGAGCCTTGAGTGCGTCTGACTGACTACCCAGAAGGCACTACAGTTGGACGAAGGACTTCCCTTCTACGACTACGCGTCCAATAATACAGTCCATTCGCGTCAGGGCACGTCAGCGGGCCAGGTCGATTCAAGTTTCGAGAAAGCTGTGAGACAAATGAGGGATGGCGCCTCTATTGGATGACAATTTAACGAAGACATGTCAAGCAAAATGCCGTATTCGTAAGTGTCAAAGCCGCTGCCACCGCGGCGGGCCAGCGTGTTGCTCCCAGTTTCCGTGTCCTCTATGAATAGCATTGCAACCGTGAAGTTTTCCAAACGGAATCGTTCTCTCAAAGCCCGCAAGTCGCTGACCGGAAAAGGTGGCACGTCCATTTCGTTGCAGCTGCCGCGGAGGCCAGAGCTCGCCGTCACGACGGACGCAGATGCTCAAATGCAGCGAGTGCAATTGGTGAGTGGAAGGCGAACCCCCCGATCGGAAATGACAGAAACTTTGACATCATAATGACGTGATTTCCAAAAACACAATCTACTTTTCAGAGGGTTGAAGGGGGAGGGTAGCCATCTCATAGATCTATGCTTTCTGATAACTGAGCGACCCATCTTGGTGGATCTATTTGGACGATGCTGGGTAGCTGCTGCAGACTGATTCCGATAGTCGTTTTCATCGCCCTGTCTCTCTCGCACCTGTAGGGAACGCCCTATATGAGTGCGAGGGAGACAGAGCGACGTCTGCTGGCGTTGCTGGTGGCGGCGAAGGGCGTGGACAGCGCGGCGAGGATGCGCCGGCCTGGCCAAGCCTGGCCATGCCGCTAGCCGATTAGCACGCGGCCCAACAGCCATCCGAACGGCGCTTTCGTCGCTCTCTTTCTCTCTCTCGCACTCATGGGAGGTCCCGTATAGGTGCGAGAGAGACAGAGCGACGACACTCGGCGGCCGTTCATTAGAGCCGCCCTGGCCGCCCCGGCCCGGACATGGTCGTGCCGAGGGCTGTCCTGAGCGGACCGCGGCCGGTCTACGGCCGAGCAGTCGGATGGCAGTGGAGCGCGCGTGACGGGCCGAGAGTGCGTGACGACGTGACGACCGGAGTGCCGATTGCGCGACAGCCAGCGACAGCGCGACGCAAATGTGTCGTGCCGCCGCGTGCCGCCCTGCCGCGACGGATGAGTGACGCGGTGACGCGCGGCTGACGCAAGGCGCAAGGGCCATCGAGTACCCATGTGGGTGCTGGAGCGGGCGCATCGCCTCAGCCGCTCCTTCCTCTTCGGCGGCGAGGACGACTCGGTCGCAGCGGGCGTCGGCCAGGAGCAGGAGGACGATGGCCGAGAGCAGGGGAGGGACGGCGAAGGCCCACCAGACCCAGACGCGCAGGCGCACCAAGACGGCGGAGTAGAAGAGCCCGATGAGGAACACGGCCGGCAACATTTGCAGCAGCCGGGCGGGCAAGGCCTGGAGGAGCTGGACCACGCCCCGCGGCACCCTCGGCGCCCAGATGCTCAGACGCCACCCTCGGAGGCACCGGCGGGAACCGCCTCACCCTCGTCGGCCAGCTCGTCGGCCAGCTCGTCAGAGCAAGGCGAAGGTGGCCGCCAACCACCGTTGCGCGACGCTGCCGACGCCGTGCTCGACCTGTCCACCAAGGAGCAGGCGACACCGAGACCCGGCCCTGGACAAGATCCGCCCGTAGGGCGGCCGGTAGTCGCGTGGCCGCCGCCACCCCCGCCGCCTCCACCGCCACCACCACCCCCGCCGCGGGCGTCTGCCGTACCCTGGCCGCCGGTCACAATGGACGACGAGGATGACGTTGATCAGGACCAGGGCATGAACACCAGGTTAGCGACGGACGGATCCGACTCGGACGACGAGGGTGGGCTGGACAGCAGCAGCGAGGACTCCGTCGAGGCCGCAGTCGACCACGGCGGCGACGACGTCGACGACGCCGAGCTAGACATGCTGCTGCCGCCGCGGCGCGACGGGGTGGGCACGTCGCGGGTGAGCGCGCTGCGACAAGTGCTGCTCGCCCAGGCCAGCCCCTTCTCCCTGAGAGCCACCATGTGGCGCGGCCCCGACTACGAGCCCCTCGTGGACGCCAGGTACGCCCTAGCGCCCTAGGCCCAGGCCCTTCCCCCCTCCTTCCAGTCCTTTGTTCTCATAAACGGAACTACATGTGCGACACGTACACCGCGTACCTGGGCGCGCAGCACAGCACCGGTAAGGTACCCGGGGTATCCAATAACCCTTGCCGCCGGCGATACTGCTTGGCCGCGGGGAGGGGCCTTACCCCGCCCCGCCCCGCCCCGCCGCCTCCACCAGCGGACTGTCATCGCTCGTCGCCGCCTGTAGCTGCCCGAGGGCCTGGCAGTGCCAGAGCAAGCCCGTCCAAGCCAGTCGCCCGGTCAGAGTGTGCATGCGCCCGCCAAGTCCGGCCTGGCGCGGTGCGGCGTTCGGCCCGTTCGGCGCGCTGCAGTCCAAGTCCACCCGCCCGGCCGCGACAAGCGCGACAAGCTCGACCACGGTGTGCATGTGCACGCGCAGCATCCGTAAGTCCCCCTGCCCTCCCAACCAGCAGCGCGGGCAGCATACCTTCGGGATTGCCCTCCGGCCCGGTATCCCAGCGCCTCAGGGAAGTTCATTTCCGCTTCCAAACGGCGAGGAGGAATGTTATTGTTATTTCGGGAGAGGCGGGGGCGGGGGTTCCCTGCCCAAACATTACAAACCAGCCCATCTCAAAATCGAATCCCCTTTGCTGCAGTCCCGCGGCCGTTTTAGTGGAAGGACCCGACTCGGTGTGGCGTGCTGGAAGTGATTAGGGCGTACCGCGTTGGCGCTCCAAGGTTGGTACTGTGGTTCCTCGCTGACCCCGCACCAACACTCACCAACGCCGCTCACGGCGAGTCGCCGCGCCGCGCCGGGCCTAGCCGTGCCGCGCCCGGGCCAGCCGTGGCCAGCCGCCGCCGCAAGCGCTGGGCCGCGCCGCGCTCGTCTCCTCTCGTCATTCTAGTCAAGTCTGTCGAGTGTCGAGACAGACAGCGCCGTGCGTTGTGCGGCCTGCGGCCTGCGGCTGGCTGCATCGCGATGGACTTGGAGGGCGACGCGAGTGAGGACGGCCAGGACCGGGATGCACAGCCGCACTACCCAGATCTCATCGACATGTAAATGTGTTTTCTTTCTCGGCGCGGCTCGGCCGGCGGTCCTTTCCCGCAGCAGACTGCTTCCGTGCACTGCTTTCGACGCTGTCTCTCTCGCTCCCTTACGAGACGCCCCTTGAGTGCGAGAGAGACAGAGCAGTGTTCGGAATCAGCCTGCAGCCGTGCCGCTCCATATTATTTGACTGTACCTTGGCGTCGTCAGGGACAGGGCCTCCGAGTACACGGCGCAGGGCGCAGGGCTCGTTGCATGACGCAACGCAAGCCATGGCAGGCCCGCTAGACGCGGGACGCGGGTGGAGCGCTCCGGCGCACGGCTTCGCGGCAAGCTTGACATCCTGCTTGTGGTTTTTGCTGTTGCAGTGTTCGGGAACAGGGCCCCGGGCCTGACGCGGCCGGGACGGGGGCGCCGGATGCCGACGGTGACCGAGACCGTGGCGACCGTGGCCACAAGGCGTCGACGCCGCCGACTCCCTACATTGACGGCGTCGTGCCGCCCAGGGACCTGCGCCTGCAACACCAGAGGGAGCACCCGGAGCTCGTCGAGGACCTCAAGGTGTTCCTCGGCCTCAAGCCGCCGACGACGCAGACCCAACAGGTACGGACACGTCCCCGTGCACGTCCGCGGCGATGGGGCTCAGCTGGCCAGCCACGGCGAGGAGTGGAGTGGAGTGGAGTGGGCGACAGACGCCAAAGCGACCAGCGGCCGGGCCTTTGTTTGGCCTCCGAGCGCCTTGCCCGCGTGTAGTCTGGATTTGTTTACGTTGCCCATCGCGTGGAGCGCGCCGCGTTACGTCACGGTCACGGCGTCGGGCCGGGGGGGGGGGGAGGGGGGGCTCTAGCCGGCAGTGGGGCGTGCCGCGTGCCGTCCCCTAGATTTGCAATCGTTTCCAGCTGGGCCGCCGGCTGGGCATGCTGCGCCAAAGACACTAAATAGAGGGAGGGGCCCTGGGCCTCGTGTCCTTGTCGAGGGCAGAGGAATGGACTGCCATCCGTCAGCACTGCAGCGGCGGACTAGTCCGACCTTTGCATTGGGTCACTGTCACTTGGCGGTATACACTGCCAGGCCGGCGCCGGAGAGGGGGCCCTGTCCTGATCCTTATCACACCCCGCACGGTCGTTCGGGACGTGACATGAAATGCAATCAGATGTAAAACGAAACAACTGTGCTCCAGGTCCTCGAGGTAGAGCCGCCGGCGCCGAACACGCTGGAGACCGCGGAGCTGGCCGACCCGTCCCAGACCAAGCTCCCGGAGGCCGTGGAGCTGGTGGACGCGTCGCAGGCCAAGCCCCCACAGCCCGCGCTGCAGACGGTGGAGCTGGCCGACCCGTACCACACCAAGCCCCCGCAGCCGGCCTGCGCCGCCGAGGCCATGAGCGCGCACGACGGCCAGGGCGGCCAGGGCCCTGGCTCGGAGCCCGAGCCGCAGTCCGCCGGCGACGCCCCCAGCTCGGTCCTGGACTGCGCGGCGCTGGCGGCGCCCGTGGTGGCGCTGGCCGTGGCGGGGCCCAGCAGGCACGACCGCGACGCCGTGGACGGCGACCTCAGGCACGGCGCGCACTCGGCGACCTGCACCCACGGCAGGGAGGACACCAGCGTCGAGGACAAGTGCCTCGAGTGCTGCGTTTACTACGGCGTCATGTGCTGCCAGTGCACCATCTCATGACGGACTGGAGTGAAACCTGTGTGGACTCTGCTGTCTCATAGAGAAGGACAAATTGGTTCTCTGCGTCGCGTCTATCTTGTCCTCTAAGTTTGTCCTTCCTTGAGTGAAACCTGTGTGGACTGTGTGCTGTCTCTTGAAGAAGGACGAATTGGTTCTCTGCGTTGCGTCTATCTTGTCCTCTAAATTTGTCCTTCCTTGAGTGAAACCTGTGTGGACTGTGTGCTGTCTCTTGGACAAGAATGAATTGGTTCTCTGCGTCGCGTCTATCTTGTTCTCTAAATTTGTCCTTCCCCTTTGCATGTGCCCTGTGTATTCAATACAAAGTATGAGGATACACTGGTGAAAATGAATTGAAATTATTTGTACTTGGTAAATGTTCCATTTATTTACCAAAATAGAGCCAATTTTTATTTTTGTAAGTACATTACAATGTTATCAACAGTCCAACAAACATTAAACTGTAACTATGTACATTTTATTAAATTCGAAACCTTTCACTTCTGAAATAGTGCATGGCCAGGAGGCTTGTTAAAGTTGGGATGCATGATGACTAGTAATCAATCACAATTATAAGAGGGCGGGAAGCGAATTTCGATGCCTACTGTAGTAACGAACATTGTCCACTGAATCCAGTTAAGAAAACAATGAGAGGCTACACACTGTCATAGCACTACTTGCAGGAAGTTATCCCTGTATAGTTTAACAGGAAATGTTTGAAAGTAAAATTCACTTCAAAAACATTAACTGAAAACAGAAATACACTCACATACCTTCTCTCTATCAAAGATATTCCTATAGTAATAGTACCCCCAAAGACTAGGTCTAGCTGTAGGAACACACAATTTTTCTAAAATTTGTTCTTTTAAAACTGTCTTTCCTTGTTTTTGTTTGTCAATTCTGCACTCACTAAACTCCCTAAGATGTTGTTTCTTGGCTACATATTTAGGAAATTCGGGCCTGGAGGCTACACAAGTGTTCCATGAACAAAGATGTGGTGACCCTTTAAGCAGTTAAAAGAAAATCACAGGAACATTTGGCACACCTGGACTGTCTTCCAAGACTTATTAATTCAACAAGCAACCTTTCAGACATCCAAATATTGCACTTTAAGTTCAAAACCGATGACTCTACAGATAGTTACATGAAGAACTCATTACCCTACACACAAATCTTAAACAGTAAGCCTAGAATCAAGTGAGTAAAAGAAGGTAATAAGCAGATCTTTCGAACTGATAAGTAAAGGGTGCAAACACTTCCATCTCAGTTCCATCAGTTTGTTTTCTTGGAAAATCTGTGACATCAGGAGACTGTGCATGTTCATGCTAATGATAAGAATCTACAATGATATGTGATTCAATTAAAACCCAAAGCCTAGAGTAATCCACATTATTTTCAGGTCTCTTACTTTTTGATCTTTGTTTTTGTCGACTGCTTTATAATAGATAAACTTCAAAATACAACTTTTAAAAAAAAAAAAAAATCAAAATTTGCAATAATAAGTAAGGCAAATAATAATGAAATGATGCATCTTCTAATTTGACCTAACGACCAACCACACACACTATGTTAGACACACACGATTAATTTGTCTAAAAGATTAAAGAATGTACTTCAAACTTACAGCTAAGTCAGACCCAAAACAAAATCCAAAGAATTGACGATTTTCTTCAACTTATCACAAATAGAAAAATAAAAGTAAAGAAGAGTGTACACTTTGCACATTGCCCACTAAATCCCAAATTCTAGGATACATCAAAGTTGTAAGGTATGAAATACAGTACTTAAAAATACTGAAGTGCTGAGTATATTTTGTTACTTCACTAAATGCCAGTTCATTACTAAAAAAAATATAATTAAGACAAAGTGTATGTTCCTCCTCGTTATATTGAGTATATTGTACTCTCAGGTACAACACAATTTAAAAATTGCAAGAGGATAAAAAGACAACCGGATGTTTTCCTTCTTGGAAACTTCCTCATCGACGGAGTCAAATAAACAAATACTGTTTTCCAAACAAGCATGGCTCAAATTTTTCACTTATCCAAACTGCACAATAATTTGTTCCATATTTTGTTTCAAGTTCATTGATGCATAGCATACAGAAAAACAAATGTTGGGAAGTCCCATCATCTAACATTAATATCACAGCAGTAAGGCTGGCTAAAACAATGGCTGTACACAACCAAAACAAACAGCCTAAACCACAAGCCACTTCATCTACAATCAAAGAAAAAAAAACAGCAGAGCCTCAGTAGACAAGCAGAACTGTTAAAAGTGCATCTTGATTCTTGGTGCAATTGCAAATTTGATTCAATAACCTAAAAGGTCAATAAAATTCATACCAAGTAAACTGGCCCCCCTTAATTAAAAAAATCACAACGCCTTTGTAACTATTTACATTAACCAAAACCTCTAACAAATCATAAAGAAAAGAACATAAAAGTTTATAACTATTTTAAACAAAACATGCTTTGAAAAAGTGAATAAACACAATTACAAGATAATCATGAGTCTTTTTCTTAAAATCACATACTCAGTTTCTAGGTTTTATAACATTGTGCTTATTTAATTTAAAGCAAGAGAAATAAAATGGAGAACAACAAGTGAGCAATGAACTATGAGTCATAAATTGGCAATGGATGGGCTTCCGTATTGAAAACAAACTGATCCAAACTAATAAGATACCGATCATCCGCAAAGAGCAGATAAAAATATTTAAGTGTTTCTCCAAGGAAGAAAGATTCCATCATATCTTTAGGACGAGTATTTTGGGCTGATTTGACATTACCAATGGAGGTGTAGCCATTTGGAACCTTGGTGTACTTTTCAAAAGCCTGGAATAAAATTAAAAAGATCAATAAACTGAAGGACTATAGATAATGAATGGTTGTTACAAATTATTGAAATGAACTGTAGGTAATGACTTACTTTGAAAATTTCCCACCCCCAGTTTTGATAAGTAGTATTGCCAGTTAGCTGGTACATGATAAACAAACTTTCTAGAGTTTCAGGCCGAAGTAAGTTGTGAGCATCATTGCTTTTAACAAACATGTCTTCACCTGTGCTAGATTCCTGCAAGTAAACCAGGACAAGCGTTCAAGAAAACTGAAGGGGTATAAAAGACATGATGAGATTGAATAAAAGTATTGGACATCATACCTGCACATTAAAGTAAGTAATTTCTGCAGCCAGTCCTGTTGGTTGGTCCACATAGGTGCGGTAACATGTATTAAGTAACTCACTTGCAAAGTCCATGTGCTTCTGAGGGAGACCATAATGTACTCCTAATGCCATAGTACCTGGTAGGTAGCATGTTAAATGATCCTGCAAAGGAACAAATACAGCACAACAAACAATAGAAAAATGATTGACAAATCTATGTCCACAAAAATAAAAACATACCATTTTAGGTTTAAAATCTTTTCCACCTGTCACCAACTCTCCAACGAACAGGAGTTTCTGCCGTGGAGTGTACCGTGCAAGATGCTTTTGCACTCCTTCCATGGCTTCTAAATAATCGTCTCTATAACTAAGATAAATAGGAGAAAAGATTTTATTAGACAAAGACTTTGAAGCTGATAATTATTCTTTAAGGCTTCCAATATAATAACTTACTAGTCAACTGTTTGGCCAGTTTGTATCCACTGTTTGAGAAGGTACTCATAATATGAATCACCTCGAGCACCCAGTGTGATAGTTGAATATGACCTAAACTGTCCTGTTTGTGCATTTATAAATATAGGAACAAGGCCATCAGTCTTGGGTAAATGGTGCACATGTTGGGAGACACGAGACACAGCTCTCTGGCAGAGAAAAACAATTTACAGTAAGTATATTCAATATTCTTGATACAGGAAAGCTTGCACAACAAGGAATATGAATCATACCAACCTCATATTTAGAATCACCTGTGATGCGGCTCAAATCTCTGAATTCTAATTGAATTGTTGTGACCTCTGAAGTACTGCTGTCAGGGCTCCATTTGGGTGAATGAGATTTTAAAGATCCAAGGTTGACATCAGAAAATGGTACACCAGACTCTGAATCAAAACATGGCAGAAGTCTGTCACCTAATTCGACCTAGAACGCGATTAAAACAAGTACCTAGAGTTAAACTAAAATACCAAATGGTAAGTATGTATAAAACATGGGAAACACAGGTACTTACAGCTTTTTCCAAAAATACTCTTTCACCACTTAAATGGTAAGCACTTAGAAGCCCACCTAAGACTCTTATAGTTACTTCAAATAAATTAACATCCCTGTCAACATTCAACTTTAGTGAATGAGCAACCCATTCTTTTACTTCCTCAAATTCTGGAAACAAATAAGAAAGAAAATCCGAGTTGGTTACAAATGAAATTATACAATGAAAGAAGTAAATCATCTAAAAGATCCCTTAAACATACCTTCTTGTAGTCCCATGATATAAATTGTATCAATTGCATCCACGATTGTGAGTCCCAGTCCAAACCAATCGTGGATTGAACCAGAAATGGGCTTCAAGTTGTCATGACCCCAGGCAAAGCGTTTATAACCCTTCCATGCATGTTTGAATGCATCAAGAACAGCTTTTTGACGTTCATTTGTTGGCCCCGTGAATTTCATGGGAATTGGTTTGACTAAAGGATCAAGCTGTAAGCAAGAAAAATGAGGACACCATATTATGTTTGACCTTTAAAGCAAGAATAAATTAGGAGACTGATGGACTTTTACCGGCTTTACTGTGCCTGGTTGCTCTCCGACATTCACCAAATGTCCTCCCGGAGGACCAACAGCCTCCTCCTCAGGAGCAGCAGCGCCTTCCGCAGCATCCTCTAAAACGGCCTCGTTCCCTTTACCCGTGTTAGGGAGCTGAAAATAAAATAGGATGCTCTTATTTACTTCTTAGAGGAAAAATACAAACACACATGCATTTAGGCACACCTACCTGATTAACATTTGTGTCAATGCTCACAATGGGAAGCTGAGAAGGATATTGCCTTTGGACTGGTGCTAGTTGGGTATCCAGATTCATGTCTGGTTTAATATAATGTGAAGACAGCCAGTAGAGGTATAATATTACTGCTAATGCGAGCATTAAATAAATAAGACTCTTTTGGAAGCGGGACAGTCGATTCCAGAACTGTAGAGACCAAATACAGTTGAAACACCACACTGTATTTATGAAGCAAATACTCAGTAACTGTCAAAACAACCTGATGTGTCTTACCCTCCAAATGGCGCGACGGCGAAATATTGAAAATTCAGGGGAGCCATCGTGCTGTCCTGGATCAACGTTTAAGGCGACGTACTCTTTTCCGAAGGTTGTGAACATTTTGCTGCCCTCGGTGATAAAAACAATGTCAGAATGTCAGACTTGGTTCCTGTGACTAGGTTAACCGACACACCGGGAGTTGCGGGAAGACGGTTTTACGGGGCCGGGGACGCCGCGAATCGACCGAAACACCGTCAAACCACGAGTTTCAATTCGACTTCTGTCATGACTGTTTAATTTGGCGGTCACCGCTTAAAATGTTTGTTGTTTTCTTCCACGAAATCCTCCTTATCCGCTCCACACGTCCGCCATGATGCCACTTGAACTTGAATGGGAAATGGAAAACAGACGACGAGCGGCGAGCGCAGGGCGGTGGCGGCGGCCGGTTCGAAGGGCTCAACGGGTTCAACACGCACCACACCCTTCCGGCCCGAGTAACTCCACCGGAAGGAGTGGAAGCGAAGCAGACACTTATTTCACCGTTCATCTCCGCCGAAGCAAACTGAACAAACTGAACAAAAGCGACGAAGCGGGGAAGCAAGGGATGACCGCCGGTCCGGGTAGGCCACCCATCCTGCAGCGAGGTGGAGTGGGCTGCCTATCTCCTCCGCAGCTTTGCCACCAATCAGCTGCCGGTTCTGTAAGCGTCTGTATGCTGCACAGGTCGGCACAATCGACAGATCCAGATTCCCACGTGATGTGCTTCAAGGGGAAACTGACCCTAAATGCTCGTCTATTTACCCGGGGGTTCGTCCATGCCAAGATTCGGCCATGTCCCTCTCGCACTCACGGGGCGTTCCGAAGGGGTGCGAGGGAGACGGAGCGACCGACCATGCGCTGTGCGGAATCTCTGCAGCTGTTCAAACCAGTCGCTATCCGCTGTCCCGGGCGAGAGTCCACAGTAGGGCTCTACCGGGGTCCAGTCGGCCACTCTATCGCACTCGATCGCCGCACGTTTGTCGTCGCCGTGTCCCTACGGGTTTCGGGTGAACTGCTTACCTCGATGAAGATCAGAATGAATCGAATGCGTCATTAATTAGTGAGTCAAAACGTGTCTCACACTCGTGGGGCTTCCCTTGCGGTCGAGAGGGAGACAGAGACCAAACGCTGTGCGGGATCGCTCTGTCAGCAGCTGTTCAAACCGCTGCCGGCGGTTTGTCGCACTGTAAGTTGTTGTGGCGGTGCGGTGGGCGCGGGTGCTAATTGGGGTGTAGTCTGCCAATTGCCTCTCGTGACATTGTGGACGTTGTGGCGGAGCGCGCCGCCGTCGTGCCGCCCCACCCGCACTGCAAGCCTGCAAGGCCAGGAAGGGACCCAGGGGACCCGAGGGAACCCCGCCTCTCGCCGGGCCGGGCCGGGCCGGCCGGGCCTCTAATGCAGGATTTCCCTATCAACGGGCCGTTTGGTCGAGTCGCCCCTAGTCCCTAGTCCCGTCCCATGATGGTCAGAGGGTCGACCACCATGGAGAGGGAAAAACATCCTCCTGACGTCCTGACGCTCTGTTCGAAGGAAAGCCGTTGTTTCTCAAACAACGGCGACGTTCTTCAGACTGATAAGTCGCCCTGTCTCTCTCGCACCTTTGCGGGACGCCCCGTGAGTGCGAGAGAGGCAGAGCGACGAATCTCGAGTCTCTGCCGAGACGGTACGAGGGCCTGTTGGGCGTTTAGCGCCCCTGGCCGACGGACGTTTGGCGAGGCGGCCGACGCGAAAATTCGAAGGCCCGTCCGACCTGACAGTTTAACTTTGAGATTGAGTGTCAATAATTGTGACGCTTCGCGCTGTTCCGCGGAATGTAGCGCGTCCACCGGCCCCTCGGCCTCGACCCCCTGCTCACGTTTCAGGGTTTCAGCCGCGGGGCGGGGCGGCCGCCAACTGCAGTCGGACGCCAAGCAGCAGTGCCGCTGCGGACGACATGCAGCACGCCGACGACGGCGCGGCCCGCGTCCGTCCCCGCCGCAAAGGCCATGAGCACGGCCCGTGGTCCCCGTGGTCGGCACCATTGAATATGCAGGGCCGCGCGTCGCCATGGGAACGGCCGACGCCGACGGGCCGACGGGGCGCGGCCAACCGAAATGCCGACACGACACGCCGACGACGCCGACCGACAGCCAGGACGCCGCCAGGCCGGCGGGGCGCGGAGCGATTACAGCAATTGCGTGTTTAATGAGCGGGCTGCTTCAGACTGATTCCGAGAGTCGTTTTCGTTGGTCTGTCTCTCTCGCACTCATGGGGTGTGCCGTGTAGGTGCGAGAGAGACGGAGCGACGAAAACGACTCTCGGAATCGGTCTGCATGGCAGCGTCGCGTGTCGCCTCGCTTGTCGCTTCCAGTAAACAGCCGCTCGTCCGTTTCCGCCCGCCGCTCGTCTGCCTTGCCCCATCCATAGTCCGGCCGGGCTGGGCGGCGTGAGATCATCGCAGCGATGCGGCGGCCACAGCGCCAGACCACGTCAGGCCAGACCACCGCGACGGCGCCCAGGCGGCGACGCGGCGTCTCGGGGCTGGCGAGGCACTACTGCACTGGCAGCAGGCGGCAGCCAGCGGCAGCATGCCAGACGGCGGGGCGCTCCGGTTTATCGCCGTGCTGTTCCATTGCCCCAGCAGGCTGCCGCTGGCTGCCGCGGCGGCTGCGGGGCGCCGAGCAGGGAAGTCCTGGTCGGGCTGCAGCGGCTGTGCCGGGCTGTGCGGCGCCAAACAGCTGGTCAGGGCGGGGAGGGGCGGGGTAGGGGCGGCGCGGCGCGGCCAGGGCGCTATGGGGTGGCGGCGACGGCGGAGAGGGGCGCAACTAGCGGAGTCCGCGGACACGGGGAACGGGTGGACGCGGACCGCGCCCCCGCAGTGCCCCGCCGCCCCGCGCATGCGCGCGGTTCACTCCGAGCCGAGCTGCGTTCGGGCCGTTCGGGTCGCTCGGGTGTTCGGACACGGCCAGGGCGCTGGCTTCGCTGGCTTCGGCGAGGTGGGCCACCACCGCCACCACTGACGGCGCATGGTGGTGTACCAAGCCGAAGACGACGCGCAGCAACGCGCAGCGGCAAGGCAAGTGTCTTCGGTCCGCGGCGGTCCGTTCCCGTTCCGTTCCGCCGTCCCGTTCCTCCGCACAACAACAGTCCCCTCCTCGTCCAAAACACGGGCGGGCGGTGGCGGGGCGTGGCGGAGCGTGGCGGAGTGACAGCCACGAGCCACGAGCACTGCACGGCCAGTGCGTGGGAACCCAGCTGAGCGCGAGCAGCCCGAGCAGCGCTAGAGCAGGACCGAGCGACAGCCAGCGATAGCCACGCGAGCTTGAAGCGCAACACACTATTCTGTCGGGGATCAGCAGCAGCCGAGCGGTGAGTGTTGTGAAGCGACGCCGCGGCCCGAGCAGACGCCCTTTGTCGTCTGCTGGGGCTGGCTGGCTGGCGGGGCTGGCGCTGGAGGACGGAGCGTCGCAGGGCGCCAAATTATTCATGAGGTGCGCGCAGGCGCGGGCGCCCCGGAGCGCCGCGCCGCGTCGCGTCGTCGAGCCTGGCGGGGGTCTTTGTCTTGTTTTGCTGCGGCCAGGACAACGCGCTGCTCAGGCCCGTCAGGCCCAGTCAGACCCATCCCCAGTGCATCTTTGGCGGGAGGCCGTCGTCGGGAGGGGGAGGGGGAAGGGGGCACAGGGGGCAGCTGAGCCAGCCCGCCAGACATGGGGGTGCTGCCCTGGCGTTGTCCTGGCGCTGTCCGGCTCGGGCATCCGCCCCTTGGACTTCCGCTGACAGGGGTCGAGGAATGCAGTTGAAAGAGGTTAGGTCAACTGGAGGCATATCGATTGTGTGCCCCCGCCACCCCGCCGCCTCCGCCGCCCCCCGCGCGCCCCTCGCTGGAGGAACATTGCGTGAGGCCCTGGATAGGACAGCGCGCGGCGACCAGCGCCGACACGCCCCCTTCTGTCGCGTGCCCGCCTGGTCTCGCGGACGGGGGGCTCGCCCGCCGCGCGGGAGGAGGCCGGCTCGCACCCCTACACTGTCGGTCCTGCCTCATTATCGGCCAGAAAATGGCGTGAAAGCGTAATCGCATGACAAAAACGAACGCCTGAAAGTGGGATTCGAACCCGCTCCCTTCCCCGGCCGGCGTGAACACGATCGCCATGAACACACCGCGGCCTGAACAGGCATCGATTGCGGGGGAGCGGGGGGCTCTCTGGAGGGGGCTGGAGTGGGGTGGGGGTGCCGGCGGTTTAACAGCCCCCACCCCCTCTCCGCCCCGACGCGGTCGCTTTGCCGGGGGCGTGTCGGGGCGCCGCACGCCATGGCGGGAACTGCCGGATATTTTCCCTGTTCTTGTTCCTCTTTTATTTTCTGCGTGCGACACTTTTGCCGCGTGTGTTGTTGGCAAGTCTGCCTGCTGGTGGATCTCCCGCGGTCCCCCAGGCTCTCAGGCCCCCAGGCAGGCAGGCCGGCAGGCCCAGGGCCCGGGCCAGGGGCGCGGCGCGACGGCCGTGAGCCACTTTTCCTTTCGGTGGCGGTGGGCCGACCAGAGCGACACGACACGATGGGAGGCCGGGTTTTGATTGCCTAGCCGTCAGGCGCCGACGTCCTCGCCGTCGTCGTCGTCGTGGTCGTCGTCCTCGCCGTCGTCGTCCTCGCCGTCGTCGTCCTCGCCGTCGTCGTCCTCGCCGTCGTCGTCCTCGCCGGCATGCTTTGTGCGCGGCCTCCACCGCTTCATTTGCAGAGCCTACCGGGCATGCCGCACTGGGACAAAGGGCCGGCTCAGCCGCAGAAGACTGATTCCGAGAGTCGCTCTCGTCGCTCTGTCGCTCTCGCACCTGTACGGGACGCCCCATGAGTGCGAGAGGGAGACAGCGACGAAAACGACTCTCGGAATCAGTCTGCAGGCTCACGGTGACGGAGTGGCCGCCGCCCGCGTTGCCGCACTCCGCGGTGTTTTGCAGCAGGCAACGCCACCAACGCTAAATTTACACGCTCTGGTTCGCGCTGCGCTGCCACTTGCGGTGCGGTGACTTGCGGCGACGCCACTGCAAAGGCGGCAAGGCGACGACAACGCCCTGCCGGCCCTCCGCTCATTCGATTGCCCGGCGCCTGCCTCTTTCTTCGCCTTCGTGGAGGGAATTCCCTCGTGGCTCTGCTCCGCTCTGCTCGCCTCTCTGATGGCGCGGGCGTCCTTCCCCCACCCTCGGCCCCACTGTCATGTCCTCAAATTGGACCTAGTTATGGACGCGATGGCGTGCGTACGTGCCCCGCGTCACAGAAGCTCGGCACGGAGTCACGGAGTGTCTCGGCGACGGAATGACTCACACTGAGGGAGGCACGGTGCAATTGATGCGGCGATGCGGCCCGGTCGCCGGGTGCGGGTGGTTCCGTGGTGACGCGGCATTGCGGTGGTGGTAAAGTCCGAGTAGCTCTGGAGCTGCGCGGCAGGTCTTATCTAGGTCTTCCACTGCAGTGCACCCTTTCTGGCGTAGCCTCTCGGGGGACTGGGGTCCTCTCCCTACCCTTCCCCTCGCTATCAGGACCAGCTGGCCCGGCGACCTTGTCGGAGGGCGCCGGCAAGGACACTGTCTGCGGTTCCTAGCTGGCCCGCCTGGCCGCCCTGGCCGCCCCGCTGGAGGGCCCACTGCGCTATGCTGTGCACCGTCCGCAGAGCATCCTGCACCTGCAGACCGATTCCGAGGGTCGTTTCGCCTTTCCCCCTCTCGCCCATGAGGCTCATGAGGCACTCTGCACAGGTGCGACAGAGACTGCGCGACGATCACGGCTCTCGGAAACAGTCTGCTGCACAGGCCTCTGCCCCCTTGACCTCGCGTCGCGTCGCAAAAGCGCTTTTCTCTCCACGGCCCCTACCCTTCGCGCTACCCCTCGTCCCGCCCTCCGCCCTGCCCCCTCGAGTCGGCGCACTCCACCGCCATGACGGGGCAGATTAGCCGAGGGGGAAGGCGATGCAGTGGCGCAGGAGATGCGGCCAGATCCTTCGACCCGTCCTCTCAGCTGACTGCTGTACACGCGCGCCTTCTTTCTGCCTCTGTTTTTCCCGCCGCGCCTCTTCGCTTCCTGCTCGCTGTGCACGTCGCCGAACTTGGCCGCCGCCAGCCAGACTACGATTCCGAGAGTCGTTCTCGTCGCTCTGTCTCTCTCGCACTCGCGGGGCGTCCCGTACAGGTGCGAGAGAGACAGAGCGACGAGATCGCCTCTCGGAATCAGTCGGCGAGACACGCCCGGCTCGGCGTAAACATCGCTAATACCGCGTCGCTGCTTCGCTGCTGCCGTGCCGCCGTCTGTCTCGCGGATGGTCCGGGCGGAGCGCGCCGCGCCGACAGTGTGTGCGTGTGTGAGTGTACACCTCGCGAATCCAATGGTGTGTTGCTATGCTGCCGCGTGGCTCGGCGGCCCGGCGTGTCTGTGTGACAGCTCCCCCACCCCTTTCCCCTCAACAGCCCGCCGAGTGTTTCGGTCCGAAAACGCGCAAAGCCAAAGGTCAATGTTCCCCGCGCGCTATATTTGCGTCGCTCTCTGGCGCATCACGCGCACGCGCTCGAGCACGCGGGTTGTTTGTTCACGTGTGCCGGTCGCAGTGTGGGGCCCAGCCGGGCCAAGCCGGGCCAAGCCGCCAAGCCGGTGTTGTTTTTGTTTTGTTGCTCAAATTTTCCGATCGGCTAATTGTGCGCCGCGGGGGGCCGCGGGGCTGGCCGGCTTGTTGTGGCCGCGGCGGCGGGCGGCACGTGTGGCGCGTGGCGCGGCACAGTGGCACCAGAGAGGACTGCCTGGCCCGGGCCTGCGGCCGCCTCCAGCCCCAGGTCGCCGCCGGCACCGCGACCTCGACGCCGACCTGTTGGGCCGCACCGAGCGGGCACCGAGGCCAAACCGGGCCAAACCTTGGAGGCCAAACACGGCGCGCGGTCGCGGCCTTGACGACGACCTTGACGTCGACCTCGGCGGGCCTAGGCGAGGCCGGGTCTATTGTTCGGCGACCGCGGCCCGCGCCGCGCGGGAGCCTTCTATTGAATTGGTTTGGAGCCTCGCTTGGGGCGGCCGAGTCCAAGAGACTCGCGGAGAGCGGCGACGGTGCCTTAGTCAGGCCGCGCAGCGTGCAGCACCGCGATGCGTTTACCGCCCACTTTGCCACTCGGTTTACGGCCGCTTCAATCGGCCTGCCTCCTCGCCTGCTTCGCCTCGTCCGGGAGCCAGGTGCGGCCGCGCCATCACTGTCGGCTCCTTCTAGTGGAGGCCCAGAAGACTGATTCCGAGAGTCGATTCGTCGCTCTGTCTCTCTCGCGCCTATACGTGAGTGCGAGAGAGACAGAGCGACAAAACGAACCTTTCGAATCGCGTGGCGGAGGGGTTCATCGCCACAGGCCCAGCAGCCAAGACACCGAGCAGGCCGATTCCGCACGGCTTCGTCGGCCTGTCTCTCTCGCACCCCTGCGGGACGCCACGCGCGTGGGAGAGAGACTGAGCGATGACAGCGCCCTGCTGGCACGGCCCCGCCACGCGGTCGGGCCGCGCACGCCACCCGGCCGCCGCGTGCCGCGTGCCGCGTGCGTTGGCCCGGCACAGAGTCCTCGCCCGCACAGTAGTCACGCCCGCCGCACGGCAACGCCACGGCAACGCCACGGCAACACGGAACCCGGCGCGGCTCCTTGACTGGCAGCACAGTGACGCCGGACGGCGAACATTTTTGCCGTCGCTCTGTCTCTCTCGCCAGCCTGCAGCGCGTAGGGGCGCGAGAGAGACAGGCCAACTGTTCGGAATGACCGCGCGCGGGAGGACGCCTGGCGCGCGGCCACGGCGCGGCAGGCTGACGGCGATGTCAACACGACAGCCGTCGTGTCGTGGTTGAAGAATGGAGAGAGCCCCTGTGGAGGACGGGGTAGGCCACCCGGTGCGCGCGCGAGCGGACGCGTGGCCCGCCGCCCCGGCGCTCCCCGCCCCACGAAACCTTCCGCTGGAGACTCCACTGGAGAGGGTAGCGGCCGGCTGGGGCAGGCTGGGGATGCACCGCACCCAGTACCCAGTGGACCGACACGCTCCCGGCAAAGCACCGCGGGGCCCGCCGGCCCCAAACCGGTCCAGCCGCCGACCGGGCCACCATGTCCACTTGTCTTGCTCGCACCGAAATAAACCGCACGCCAGTAAAAAATGACTCTTGGCGGCGAAGGCGAATCACAGTGACGAGTCTAAAAGTGGCCGCGGCGCCAAGACGCGCTGCCGGTCCAGCACAGCCTCGGCACAGCCTTGACCTTCGCGCCTTTGCCAAGGGCGGATCCAGGGACGGGTTCGAACGGCTTCGCAAAAGTTGCCTACCCACAGAGTCTAAGTGCGACTTGTTGGCTATCTTTTGGGCGGGTTGGCCG